ATTGTGTTATTCATCTAGACTTTTTGCTACCTGTGCTATTGTACTATTGTGTTTGCTCTTTGAGCAATCACCATGTTATCCCTTACTCTAGACAAAGTCTTTTAGTCTCTCACTTCTTTTCACTTAATGCAATCTTTATTTGGACAACTTTCACAATGTCCACGAACGAGGAGGCGAGTCGTCTGCGTGATCTCCAAGCAGACGTCCGCGACCAGGATGACCTCGAAAGAGATATCACTCGCCAGGTATGACCCAGGCAGGTCTCAATTGACTATCACTCTGGCTCACCCTTTCCTTTTTTTAGGCCGATAAAGCTCTGGCAGATAAAGCGGAGGAGAATGACATCAAGCGACTTGAGAAAACCCTCGTGGATCGGGAGTAAGAGCGCATGACTTGATAGTTGATAGCGTGACTAACTTAATCTGCAGACGGGTCGATTCGCAGGTCCGCCAAGCCCAGCAACGCCTGACACAGCCCGTCGGAGCCGCTACTCGCCATCGAGTTGAGAATGAGCTGAAAAGGCTGCAGATGCGCAAGGCCGATCTAGGAAAAGACTTGAAGGACATCCAACAGCGCATTGACGAGAGGCGTGAGTCGCAGGGCAACTCGACGGTGGCGCACGGGTCTGGGCGACAGCCGAATGAGTCCCGCCGCGAGTATCTCCTGAGGACTGGAAAGATCACTCCCTTCGCATTGATGCAGGAGGGCTCCAGAGATGGGCCACTTGGTAATCTTCACGATGCACTTGTCGATGCCGAGGACCAACAGCATGAGGAGGAGGAGGAGCGCGAACAAGCCAAACATCACCCAGCCGTGTCCCACCGGGACCTTGCACTCCCAGACTTAGACTTTGACGCGAGCAGCAAAAGCAAGAGCAAGCGGAAGAAGGTGGATCGTCGTAGCTCCCCGGGAGCAGATTCGTCGGCAAGTTACGTTGCCTCTGATGGTGACGCTACATCCGAGGGTGAAGAGTTCATGCCTGATACTCTTCCTGAGACCAAGCCAAGTCGCAAGCGCAAGCAAGGAAAAGCGACCATTGAGCTGGAAGATTTGAGTGGGGTTGATGATGGAAACGAGGCGATATACCAGTCTCGCGTCCAGGAATGGATCAGTCGGCGAAGCTCTGCCCGGCGGCACGCTGACAGCCATCATGTCGACGCTGACCTGAATGAAGAAGAGGAGTGGCTTAAGCCACATCCCACCGAACCGGCCATGGAACTTGACAATGGACTGCGTGTCCCTGGAGACATCAGCCGCTTCCTCTTTCCCTATCAGAAAACTGGAGTCCAGTGGCTTTGGGAGTTGCACCAACAGACTGTTGGTGGAATTATCGGAGACGAAATGGGGTTGGGAAAAACCATCCAGGCGATTTCTTATCTTGCGGCACTGCATCATAGCAATAAACTCACCAAACCTGCCATCGTTGTTTGCCCTGCAACTCTTATGAAACAATGGGTTAATGAGTTTCACCGCTGGTGGCCACCCTTCCGTGTCTCCATCCTACACTCATCGGGCAGCGGGATGATAAATCTTGGTAAGGAAAGCAGTCGGGAGAATGCGCTTTCATCAGAAATGATGAGCAGCCGCAGCTCTCGGCACCTATCTGCCGGTCAGAAAGCGGCTAAAAAGATCATTAAGCGTGTCACGGAGGAGGGCCATGTCCTCGTGACTACATACTCAGGTCTGCAGTCTTATGCAGATGCTCTTGTTGACGTTGAATGGGGCTGCGCCATCCTTGACGAAGGTCATAAAATCCGCAATCCAGATGCCGGTATCACCTTCAGCTGCAAGGAACTCCGGACTCCACATCGCATCATTCTTTCGGGGACCCCGATGCAGAATAGTCTGGTAGATCTTTGGTCCCTATTTGACTTTGTGTTTCCAATGCGCCTAGGAAACCTTGTTACATTCAAAAACCAGTTCGAGATCCCCATCCGTCAGGGTGGCTACGCATCTGCATCAAACCTTCAAGTGCAGACTGCTGCGAAATGTGCAGAAACTCTCAAAGATGCCATCAGTCCTTATCTGCTCCAGCGGTTCAAGGCTGATGTGACATCTGATCTGCCGATGAAAAGCGAACAGGTCATTTTCTGCAAATTGACCCAACTCCAGCGAACCATATACAAGAGGTTCCTGGGCTCGGATGACATGAAGTCTATCATACGAGGGAAAAGAAACTCTCTGTTTGGCATTGACATACTGCGCAAGATAAGCAACCATCCAGACTTGGCAGACCACACATTGCGCTCTCGCGACGCGGATTACGGTGATGCAGAGCGGTCTGGCAAGATGAAGGTTTTGAAGGGTTTGCTTGAGGTGTGGAGAGATACTGGTCACAAGACCCTGGTTTTTACCCAGGGCCGTCTGATGCTAGACATCATTGAGAAATTCCTTGGAGCGCTCGGTGGATTTAATTACCTCCGAATGGACGGAACTACTCCGATCAAGGAGCGCCAGAATCTGGTTGACACATTCAACAACGACCCTAATATCCACGTATTCTTACTCACCACCCGTGTCGGCGGGATCGGAGTGAATTTGACAGGTGCTGACCGTGTCATTATTTACGATCCCGACTGGAACCCATCGACTGACTTGCAGGCGCGAGAGCGCGCATGGCGTCTGGGCCAAAAGCGTGATGTCACCATTTTCCGCTTGATGACCAAGGGCACTATCGAAGAGAAAATCTACCACCGCCAAATATTCAAACAATTTTTGACCAATAAAATCACCCGTGATCCTCATCAAAGAGAAGGTTTCCAGCTGAGTGATCTGTATGATCTGTTCACTCTTACAGATGAAAATGATGACGAGTTGGAAACCACCAAACTCTTCAAGAACGCTGAAGTCACATACCAGGAAGAGGCTAAAGAAGCTCATGGCAGCAAGAGTAAGCCTGCGCCGACTCTCAAGGAGGAGGACGGTATCACCGACATTAATGGTATTGCCAATGTCGAAGAGTTCCAGAACGCCGCCGAAGAGGACAATAATGCCAAAACTTCCGAAGATCGCATAATGCATGGTATTTTCGCTCGTTCTGGCGTTCACTCTGCCGTTCAGCACGACCAGATCGTAAACGGTAAACGAGTCCTTCGCGCAGACCCTAAGATGATCGAAGCCGAAGCTCGCCGCGTCGCCAACGAAGCCGCCGAAGAGCTCCGCAAAGCCGAAGAAACTGCCCGGGCACTCCCCATCGGACTTCCTACCTGGACAGGCCGTTTTGGGATGGGAGGCCGCGAAGATCCACGGACTGGTGGTAGCTCGGCTCGCCCTGCTGGGGCAGGACCATCATCTTCAGACCTGTTGGCTAGACTCAATCCTGCTGCTGCCGCGGCTGCTGGACAGAGAACAAGTGGTTCTGATAGTCCATCAGCACGTATGCCACGCGGCAAAGAGTTCATGCCCTTGATCCGTGACTACCTTGCCTCTCAGCGTGGGCCAACTCTGTCGCAGTCGATTGTTCACCATTTCAATCATTACTGCTCCAATCCGCAGCGTGTTGCTGAGTTCCAGGAGTCATTGAAGAAGGTTGCGACACTTGAGCATGGTCGTGATCGTCGAGGTCGGTGGACTCTAAAGCCTGAATTTGCCCGGAACGCCAGCAATCGGGGACGATGAGGGGCTTGGAAAAAAGCCGGTGGGCTGAGATCGTCCCCGGGCAGAAATCGAACAGGCTATCTTTCTGTACGATAGTGAGTTTCACGAGATAATGAATGACAATGACAATGCCGATACCCCCTAGTTATACAGTTACACAGTCAAAATGTACATCACGGCATACGACATAGGCAGTACCCACTAGGCGCATGCTTAAAACGCCTAGTGTGACGCTACTAAGGGGTTCCTACACGCATAGGGGCAAGCTGCCGTTTAACTCAAGCCACATGCGTTCATACACACCTTCCATGATGTACGCCAAGTATCAAACAACATGTCAATCGTAAGCACGTAACCTATCAAAGAGAAAGGGGCTGGGTATTCTAATAATATTTCCAAAACTATGTAACAGCCCTCAACTTCACTGCTTTCAGTGGACCATATTCTATTTCTAGTGGGACCACAAATTATCAATGATGCGAAAAACATAGAAGCGAGGGCATATCGAGCCAAATAGGCAAGAGATTTTCGTTTGTACGAAGTAGAGTCGCAGCCCGATATTAAACAAGTCAGACAGGATTCAGGGGAAAGGCTCCACGGGATCTTGGCGTTCGTTGTTTGTCGACTTCTTTTATGGATTACTTCGGTGGCAAGGGGATTCTGGTATGATTCTTGATGGGTTTTCTTTTAGTGAAATCATTTGTGAAACAAAATTCATCCTACGCCTACATATATCATTGTGTGACCCAATCATAGGGGCAAAATCACATCATTAATACCACCAACCTTTGTTTCAGGTGCCTCAATTGATGGATAGAAGACACACCAGTGGGTGAGATCTGCATTCGATCACCATCATGACTGGCTTAGATGGTGTAGCTAGTCAGGTACCCACTTAATGACCTCCAGCATGTCGATTGTAATTAGTATCCGGTGGGTTAGTCCTTTCGTTTACCCTATACACACAGGTTCTGATACGGCAGCATGGATCAAGGAAAATACTACAACCGCAGTGATGTTTGCATGCTGCGAAGAAAAACAAAGAGAAGAAGAAATGAGCAACATTGCCAGGGTATAGAGTCAAAGGAGGTCGAAGAACAATCAATCGACAGTTCTACCTGCTTTACCGATGACGGCTTCTATTTTGATTTCAAGGATATCTACTCTATACGGAGGATCCGGATCAGCGTTCGACACTCGAAACAGTCCGATGGCCCTACACTCCACCTGTGGAGCATGTTCATCGACAGTCTCCCATGGATATCCCAAAGCATATAAATGCGTCACTTCCCCGTCAAAATCCTACCCCTCTCTTGAAAGAAACATATAAAAACAACCGAAACCCCTCAAGGAACCATTAACTTGAAAGCATTCCCAACCCAATTCTTCACTCATCATCTAAAATGAAGTTCTTCGCCACCGTCGCTCTCCTAGCCACCGCTGTGGCCGCCGCCCCATCCCAAAAGCTCTTCAACCTCAGGACTTCCGGTTCCAGCAACAGCTCTCACAACGACCTGTACCTCTCCGTCGGCCACGGGTTGGCCAGCGACCCGCTTAACAGCGAAGCCGTCTTCTCTGGTGCCTCGGCTAGCAACGCTGCCGCCTTCTCCTTCATCAATGGCACCATTATCTTGGATACCGAGGCCAAGTCCCCTTGGACTCTTGACCTGATCAGCGTGGAAGGTAAGCTTAGCCCTGTCCTACCTTTGAATGTGACTGTTACCGAGCCCAGATCACTAACGATATTGGTACTATATAGGCACTCGCAAGGGGCGCGCCCAGATCAGCGTCAAACCCACTTCCGGCTCGGGAGGCTTCTCTATCAGCCGCCAGGGCGTTCAGGGACCCAGTGAGATCTGGGATGGATGGCTGTGTAAGTTCTTCTATTTTTATACCCCTTTCCAAGGCTACATGATCGTGTTGAGTGCAATGGCTGACTCCTTTTTTTTTCAGGGTGCCCCACCAATTTCGAGGCCGGCCAGTTGTTCCCCAACTTGCACTTCCTCAGCAAGACTGTTCAGGAACCTGCACTTCCGGAAGGATGTGACAGGATCCAGCTCAATGCTATTCCCACCAGCTCTGCTTAGAGGGTTTTGAGACTTTTGGATTTTGGTTTACAACTCGTAGCGAACATCAGATTGTGATATGTGCTTTCTAGTTTTTGTGTTCTTTTCAAAATTTGGAACTTGTCCTGGTTTTTCATGTCAGCATATCTCAGCGTATAAGGCAGGCTTAATTGATAATATCTTGATTATTCTACTCGTTATCTTCTTAACATCCATGGATGTCCTGTGAATGCTCTATATCGAATATGTAGAATTCTTCTCCCGACATAGGGATCCTCACCAATGCCATATAGTCTTTCAATGAGAGAGAATATCATAGATCCCCACATCTTTCAATCTTCCCCATCCCATCCCTAAATTCGTAATAGTCTTCGGGTGCGAGTTGCTACATCGCCACCCCCACGTTTAGGAAACTTCTCTGGCGGAACCGAGCGATACCCGACCTTGGATACGGGCAGCCAGGTGGCGATTGTAGATCATACCCTTTAGTATAGTATAGTTGGTCGCTGTTTTATGTAGGTATGACAGTTTACTCCATGGCTGGCGTCAAACATCGGTTCCGGTTCATAGTACAGAGTAGGGCTGTGGTTTGTTGTGTTGTGCAACTATGCTATGTCATGGTGCACTGCCATTCATCATTCACTTATCTGGGTTTTGTAGCCCTGGAATGATAGTCGGATGTTGGTCAACTTCTGGGATAGGTGATTAATTGAATATCAGTTCGAAGGTTTTCGTTGAAGTACATGGTTATCACTCATACATATCCTGAATTGAAACATATATATTGCAGACCCCTCTGTTTCAGTGTGAGATGGATTTGATCAATTAAAGGATAAGAATAAATGATCGGTGCTCATATGATTTACATGCTCATAATGTGATAGATATATAAGCAATCTTGTGTCTGATAAAGTCGAACTTTTGCGTTGCTCAACCTGAACGAGTATAAACTTAGACTTGACACTTCTCAGCTTTATAGCACAATGAATTTGGTATTCTAGATAGTCCAAATAGTCCAAATACATAGTCCAGATAGTTATCAGTTGTCCGCTATAAATAGCCCATGTCTCACATGCTGGACAGCCACTACCTATTTGGGCTTAGCTCCTCAATACAGCTCAAACATCGCATCTTCTCTTTCTCTCTGTTTTCTTCCCTCTCTCCAATTGTCTGTGAAGGTAAAGACAGTCGTTTACTATTTGCCTTGAAATTATTTACCATCGTTGCTCCGAGTCGAAACCCCACACTCCCGAGATCTACATGTTTTAGTGCCCAGACTGGCAAGGGGATTAATAACATATTCTGCACTGCACATCCTTTTGATCGTCCTTCCCTAGCAACCGAAATTGCTTGGTACGGACATCAAATCGATAAGCCTGTTTCGACATAGGAGGCCTCTGTGTTTTTTTTTTTGACAATTCACACCGGGTTGTGCAAGGGGCGTGATCAGTCTACCTTTCAGCCCAGGGAGTAATACCTCGGTCGCTTGATTTTTGAACTTCCAGATAATCTCTCCAAAACTTCGACATGCGGTGTTTCATTTTGAGTGTGTTCTGCACCATCTTGTTGCTGGGAACGATCTCATCGGCTTGGCCATGGCGGCCCTATGGAGAACTCCCGGGTAACTCCTTGGATAAGCGAGCAGGTAATTCAGGACTCTTATCACACCATTGCCCTTGATGCTGACCTGCAATTCAGATACCACAGAGACAACGACCGCTGAAACCTCCGAATCTACCACGGATGCCTCCACTGTCTCCAAGACTTCTACCGGAACCACCACCGGAACTACCACCGGCACAAACACCGACACAAACAGCGACACAAGTACAGACACAAAAACAGGCAAGACAACAGGCACTGCAACCGATTCTGATACGACCGGCACAACAACTGGCACGAAGACGGGAAAATCCAAGACTACCACTACCACCTCCATCTCCATTGACCCAGCTGCCGCTGCTGGCGGCGTGTCCATGATCACTCCCGCTTCTTCGTCCACGACCTACTACAAGATCGGCCAGGATGTGACATTTGTATGGAACTATACTTCTTTGTCGGTCACGCCGTCTGCGGTCAACGTCGTGGCTTCGTGCAGTCTCAACTCGATGACATATACGCTCAGCTCCAACATGAGCGTAAAGCAAACCGGAAGCCTTGTGTGGGATACTGGAAAATATCAGTCATCGGCTACTATTCCGTTGCTTACCGCATCGTATACTCTGATCATCTACGATGCCAGCAAGAAAATTAGCGACACCGCGAGTGCCGGATACTTGAGCTCGCAGAATGGTGGTTACATCTTCGGGATGTACACACCCCAGTCTTACACCCCACTCAATGGTGAATTTTTTATACCAACCATCCTCGCTCAAACAGACTGCTAACCTTTGTCTAGAATTCAAGTGCGCCACCTGCAGCGGCGCTCTGTCCGAAACCAGTCGTCTCGCTATCAAATTCACCGTCGGCATGGCCGTGATCACCTTCGCTTCGTTCACCTGGTTTGCGGGCAGTGCTGGTGTCCTGACCACTTGAAGGGCACCCACTCGGTGCACTCGAATTGACTGACCATGAACATATTTTTCCATTTTGGGGCGTTGCATTGTTGAAGCGATCTGAATTTACGATAATAGCAAGGAAGCGGCGTTCCGTCATTTTTTTTTATATTTATCTTTGTACACTTTCTGCATCTCATCCTTTCTCTTATCTATTGGTTCTATTTTTGTTAATAATAAGGGGAGATGGTCAATTGGGGATTTGATTTTTTTGTATTTTCGGTTTCTCACAAAATCCAACATCCGTTGCATCGCATTTTCGATCCTTGATTCCAGATACCCTGAGTTCTCCCTCGGTTTCACTGCGATCTAAATCCCGTTCCGGGCACAGCAAGTCTCTCACTGGGGTACTATCAACACATTTCACCCCATGAAGTCATGATCTAGAGCCCTCTTGTAGAGATTGTCTTTTTTGGTGGACATCGCCTCCATGGGAGGCTATGCGTTGCAGATAGCCAGTGTAGTGGGGATGGGCCTTGTCTGCTTCGTCCACCTTGAAGATTATGTTTTTGCGGGAAGTGACTGGCTCATGATTTCCATGGCCTTGCTGGAGAACTTGCACGGTAACTTGATAGAAACTTGTGTCAGGGTTCTTTCTTTGGTGGAGAGTCACTTGATGCAATGATATTGATGTTTAAGGCTTTAGATCAATGAAATCAAAAAGTCAAGATCGAGACAGTTCTGAAACATGAATGACATAATGTTTAATATTTAAGATTTACTTAGTCGCTGTGTTGCTTAGCCGTTGTCTGTAAGATTCATTTATAGATCTATGGCCGAATGACCTGGCTACACAGGGGTGTATATACTATAGCCCCAATCAAAAGAATAAATACATACATGTACTCTATGGTGATCGTCTAGATCATCCTTTTTTGCCTACCGGAAATATAAAATCTGCCATGCGCGCAGCCGTGATATTCCCTTTATTGTGAGCTGAGGCGTTCAGTCCCACCTCCCATGCAATTGTTCCAATCATTGCGCAAAGACAAACGAACAGCTTGATGTCTTACTTCATACAATTGGAAATTGGAGTGTCTTACAGATAAAAAAAGCTGTAGGAAGTCATTCAAGCGGTTCATTGACTGAGATGAAAGCTTAGAAAATAAAGGAGGCTATTTAATCTCCTTCTGCCCTTTCTCCAATCCATGAAACTAATACCTACCTATTTCATCTGTCCTAAGTCTTCCACATCCAACATTCACTCCCAACTATCACCGATAAGTATCCAGAGCCAAAAACAAACAAACAATGCCCTCCCAACTAGGTTGGATCTGGCCTAAAGATCCACGCCCCGGCAACCCACAACACTGGCCACGCCGCTGGCGCTTCCTTGATGTCCTATCAGGCAAAGGGCCAGACATCTACGTGGGCCGAATCGGCCAACCCAAAGCCAAGACCAGAAAGTCATCCTCTCAACCCCGGTCAGAGCCCACAAGACAAGAATGGTCCCGATGGGAGAGCAACCCCAACGACCCTGACAAGAACTACAGCCCGCTCCCCTGGGCACGGCGGCCCGCGGGCGACCGCTATGATTTCCGCACGAGGAAGTACCATACCCCGGACCATGGGACGTGGAGTGCTGTTGAGTATTGCAATGGGAGAAGGGCTCGAAGGGGGGGATGGACCGGGAAGGAGGAAGTTCATTGTATTCCGAGGCGATACTGGGATCAAAATGGGACTGAGTATCCAGCGGAATTTTGGCATGACAATATTCATGGGAAGCATGCAGATTAAGGCCAATGAATAGGAAGGGGAGAAAGGAATCAGGGGTATTGGGAGGGTGGTTTGCATGGTATTCTGTTAAATCCAGATAGATCGCTCGAATGCTTCCAATCAATTTCTCCGTCAAGACCAAGATGAGATGGATATAGCCCACTGAGCCGATGGTCTTCCAAAAATTCCCTCTGTGACCCAAGAATGGGTTAAGAGATATTCATCGTCCATTCAGGCCCCATGAACCGTTCAATCAGGCGCATCCGGAGTGCAATGCGTCAAAGGTATATATACGCGCTGGCCCATTGAAAGACTGTTCATTCGCCCGAGGGCGACGGAGAGTTGGCAGTTGGGCGCCGTTATCAGCCAGGCGATTGCACTTCACGCATGGCGTCTGCTTGATATCCGCATAGGAAGAGATCATGTCCTGCATCGGTATTAGCAAGAATCTCCTTCGGTGTCAGGAATAGAACATACCAGCAAGAAAGCAAGGTCCCATTTCCGCGGGCGTGACCCCACACATTCCAGTATAGCATTCTCAAGTTTCGTGGGTGACCGACCAGCGATATTACTCGAAACCTCCCAGTCAGAGACTGGGGAGCCAGGAAAAGATATCCCTTTGATCTGGAAGACAACACCAGCTCTAACAAGTGCTACCGCTAGAGAAGTCCCATCCTGGCTCTTGATAACCCGTATACCGGGAATATCGCGCTGAACAAACCGCTCCAAGACATTCTTCCACTCGCCCTCGGTAGACTGCGCTTTGATACGTTCAGCCTCTTCGTCCTCTCGCTGACGCTCATCTACTTTCGACTTTTCTTTTCGTGCTAGTTCTTCTAGAAGAACGTCGTAATCTCTTTCCCACTTCCCTGTTGGCTGCAAGAGCTGGCCGTTGGCTTCCCTGATGCGTGATTCAACATGGGCCCAGACGAAGGCCAATTCCGGATCCCTCCACAAGGACTGAAATTGCTGGACATCAGCAACGCGTGCGCGTGCGGTTTCATCTAGACTAGCCCGGAGGATCCGTGGCGTTTCAGCGATTGGATTGCCGAGTGACACTTTATCTGGGTTTGCAATAGGCACTAGAGGCTCTAGTAGGCCCTGGGGCATGAATCCACGCAGTTCATGGATCTGGATATCTCATTAACTTGGCTCTGTGGCAGAGCTGTAAGGGCTCGTGTACTTACCTTGCGTTCGAGTTCTTGTAGTTTGGCTAGTGATGAAACAAGCTGGATCTCTGACTCCATCTGTGAAGTCCCGCTGTTGCTGGTTGCTGGCTCTTGGGTGGAGTTCTGATTGGTAGCAGCCATGGACGGGGCGGTTGACATGGCTTTTTGCGAGGGACTGTTCCAATAGTCAAACTCAACCCAAAAATACGCAACTTTCGGCTTCAGGAGATTAGTTATATATAGATATTTTTGAATAGGCACTTGAGCTTCGAAGTGGATAATCAAAATGTGAAAGACAAGAGGTTATCGCAATGATTGTTTTGTGGGCGATGAGATCACTTTGTGTTGCTGTTATATAGCGAGAAATAAAAATGTCCAGCGCTAAATAAAAGAGTGTGCTTTGAGGCGGATCAGAGATAATGATATTTTGTCGGCTCCAAATAATGGAGGATGAGAGGATGTGAGAGATGAGATGGGCCGTGAACCAATCAAGAAATCTCTAGCCACAATCCCTTGTGCCACATGTGGCGGATGTCATACTTACATAATCTTATTTTTAGGGATCTTCTAACTTCATTTCCTTTGCATCTTTGATAACGGTAATTCAGTATAGAAATTATTTGATTATCAGTAGTTGCCTTGAATTACAGATTCATCAGACTATCTGTGTCTTTGACCTTTGGTAAACGGTCTTACACAACGTTATCATCGGGGCCCTTACACCCTGCCTGATTTTTCGCTACCCATCTTACCGCCCTCCACACCGCCTCAGTGTCGAACGAACTCCCTAGCAAGACGGTAGATAGTTACCTACAATTTGTATATAAACCACTAACAAAACAAGTCACTTTTATCACATCAACTACTTCATCGTTAGCAACTGCTCCAAAAAATCTTTGCTATATAGAATGACGATAGGACAGCTGAGCTAACCATAATCCTTCGACCAAGCTGCAGGCAGTATTCCCGGGCAGAGCCTCAAAAAGCGGGGTATAAGAAGCCCAGCCATAACACAAACAAACCCTTTTAAATTTCCGGCTTTCAAGACCACAATAGTGACAATGGCAGAAATGCTCCGTCTCTGTCAACTGAATGCGCGTCTTCAGTTCCTGCGTTATGAGGGTGGGGATTAGTTCCGGCCTCATTGGGATGAGTGCTTTGTTCCGCCTGATGAGCTGGAGAAGTCGCTTTATAATATTCACAATTTATTTAGATGGGATGAGGAATAGGATATGGAGGAGTTGCAGCCTCATATTGGGTGGGCGAAGAAGAGTAATGTTATTTGCAAAGAAGTGGCAGATTGGTCTTGCTGATGTTGAATCTGAGAAGGGTCCAGTTGGTGACAGGAGCTGTGCTTCAGTTGTGGGGTCTTCTGTTACGACTGATACTCTTCTGAGTGGTGCAACGTCGTTTACGGCTGAGATGAACTCGAGGGAATTCGTTCGGATATTTCCAAAGACGGTGTCTGTCATCATCTTTCAAAGACACTTATTCCATGGTGGGGATGATGTGTTTAGAGATTTCAAGTACACTCTACGGGCTGATTTCATGTATACTTCTGAGTAGAGAAGTGGCTGCCTGCCTTGGGACTTTCCAGCTGAGGACGTTCAAGGCGCACTTAGATTTGAAGGGCCTCAATGAAACCGAGGTCGACTGTAACACTATATTCCAACGAGCCCTATCCCACCGCAACGAGCTTCGTGTTCATTTCCAAGGCGAACATTGCAGCAGGACGTGTTAACGGATCACCTACTACCCCATGTCACCATATAATTTATTTAAGAGGATCCCTGGATCGACGCAAATTTGTTTGTGCTTGGAACATCCGTCGGAGGGCGTTCCTTGGACCGAGATTACAGATATGGCATTGTGAGATTGCTGACCCCCGGCTCAGCCCATATATTGGTAAACCATGGGACAGTATATTCGCCAAGGGCACATAAGCGGTATGAAGTGTTAACTATTGATAGAGGTCGGAGGCTAAAGGATATTCATCGGACGAGGACACATACATAGTTCCTAGTGGTGAGAATACTGCCTCCTCGGTTTATAAATAGAAAATATACCGCCTTCCTAGCCTGGAAATTGCGCTGTACATTCCGACGTCACCGCCACGGTAAAACCCGGCTCCACCACGCCCAGCAACGATCTCTACCACCTGTTCGATCTGCAGCGGACAATTTAGTTCGATGTGGGGATTGACTGATGTCTGGGAAGAGACAGTGGCAATGGACCATGGCTCGCCTAACGTGGTACGTCATGTGAAATCAACCCTTGGAGAAGGCTTGCGATCTGACAAGCAAGAAAAAGGCGAACCCTCACAGCCTCAAAGCTCATTTAAGGCAAGCAGTACTCCGTAGCCAGCACAACACCATTAAACGCAGATCTCTGTCTGAGGGACAAGCGAAAAGCTCCTGGCGTAAGGGGCCTACCTACAGCCTACCTACAATACAGAATACGAATGAGTGGGGGGAAGGATCAGCGAATCGGTGTTTACTGCGGCCCCGGATCACTCGATCCTTTCATTTTCCAACGCCTACTGAGTGATAAATTGAAAGATCGTCTGCAATCTCCCGTAAGCGGCCACGAAAGACTTGGCGACTGATATGTGGCGAGACAAAAAAAAAGTGGTCATCAGGTGAACTGTTGGATTTAGGTCCCAACCATCCAGAACGGAGCCTAACTGGGTTCTTTTCCTCAACATTGAGTTATCATGATCTATTAATGTATAAATGTATCTATATACAGTTCTATTGTCCGGATATGGAATGCGGACCGGGAAGGCGGTATGTCGGCTATTCATCAAAGATGTCCACTTAGGCAATGTTCTCACCAATCAACAATATCCTTGGCCCACTTCTATCATTTTTCCGCAACGCCATTCCAAGGTTCCTAAGGGTGGCGTGGAAATCGTGGCGTAACCGGGGTTACAGGGTCCAGAATACATAGTTACCTTCGGAAATCAGATCATACAGCATTCATTATTGCTTCGTATAAGAGAATATGACACAGAGTCATCGACTGGTGATCGACAGCTGGTCTGACCATATTTGCGGGGTGAACCTGCAGCTGTAGAAATATCTGATTCGTTGGGTTTTGACGATGTCTTAGATAAAAACGGAACTTATGTTGGCAACCATGTCGAGAAACAAACAAGGTCATAGAGAGGAATGCACAAATCAAATCATAGCTAGCAGGGCTGTCTCACTTCTACTGTTGTGGAGCAACGTATTTCGGGTCCACGGGTGTTACCTGACTCGACGTTACATTCATGTATCCCTATAGTTCTATTTCGAGCTTGACGAAAGGGTTCAGAGTCATCTGCAATGAGCTGAAACTTGATATTAGATGATGGAGGAAAGTACTTAAATAGCTCCATCCCTCCCATACTGTCTGGCCTCTTCATTCTCACCAACATCCATCAAGACTAAATAATCCAATCAAAAACTCAACATTCCAACCATTATCATGCAGCTCACTCAGCTCCTCCTCGCTACCGGCCTCTTTGCCTCCTCGGCCTTCGCTGCCCCCGCCGACACCTCTGCCAAGTCCATGATGGCCGACACCCCCCAGTGGACTCTCCAGGACACCAAGCGTGTCTGCGACACCGAAGACACCTCCTGCACCTGGACTTTTGGCATCTACCCCGGCGCCGGTGATGCCACTCCCTGCACCTACATCGTGGAGGGTGCCCCTGCCTCCAGGGCCAACGGTGGCCCCGCCACCTGCGGCGAATATACCGTCACCTCCGGCTGGAGCGGCCAGTTCGGCGAGGAGAATGGCTTCACTACTCTCTCCATTGTCAATGAGGCTCGCCAGATTATCTGGCCTGCCTATACCGACAAGCAGCTTGCTGGCGGTGTGGTTGTCAAGCCTGATCAGAGCTACGCCCCTGCTGCTCTCCCTTGAATGAAGTGATATGATGACTCGGATTATGGTCTGAATATTGTGTATACCAACCACTTTCCTTAATGACAACCAATGACAAGCGATTTTACCTGTTATTATATACATTTTATACTCAAAATTGGCTGTAGAAAAGAGGATAACCGCGTAGCATATAATGTTGTCCCTTACGCATTTCACCCAAGACAAGTTTACTTTTCATTTAAGCTCTGGGAAGGACAAGATGTTGCTTTGATAAATCCACCGAAAACCACTTAGCAATGATAGGAGTGGCGTCCGATATCCTAAAGCACTTTAGTGTCACTATAGGTCCAGTATACCTAAATAACGTTGAGATGCACTATATGTAGAATATTGATCCGATTATCGATACTATGATATATATAAATAACGAAATCGCAGGGAACAGCACTTCTAGAGTAGATCGAACTTTATACTCATAATTGGAAGTTCATGGCCCAATACTTCCTCTTGGAACGCGGTCCGTTGAATATACACTCATTTAAAGCCAATACACCAGAAAAGTGGAGAAGAGAAAGATACTGATGCACGCATCTCGTCTACGTGTCTGGATAGAAAGATTATTGACCAACACAAGTGGGATAAACTGCTGATGAAATTCTGCCATGCCTTCTAAATAGCTTCATGGAGATGAAAGGACAAAGAAATAGTGGCCTGGAACCCGGGAAAGTGCCATGAAATCTGGAAGAAATGCCCAGAGCTACCTTTAGGCAATGCTGGACGTCATCACAAGCTTAGCCCCACACCATGTTCTCAATCTCGTTATCCTGGGAGAGGGAGTCCGCATTGTCCATCTCTTCGTTTCCCTCTCGGTATCGCCATCTCTTCCCCATAACGTCCTTGAAGGTCTCAACATCTAGGTCTCCACGCATGATGGTCTCGGAGAAAGATCGGATCGGCTGAGAATCACCCAGAGGCTTCAATTTCACGTCAAGGTCGGGGGCGACGAACAAAACAGCGCTCAACCGACGCACGCCCGGGGAACGGCAGACACGATGTTTGGCGGCGGAAACCCGGCTACCACTTAGGATAACCGCACACCAACCAGTCAAGACAACAGTGGCATCCCCGGGGACGAGAACCCATGTGCCAGGGGTTTCTTCAAGCTCCAGTCCGGGCGTGCCATCTTGGAAGATACTGGAAAAGGTTCCATAATCCGTGTGGGCTCCGCACCCATTCGATGATCCGGGAGCAGCCGTGTTAGGATTGTAATCACACAGGCGATAGTTCATATTGTATGAGGTGTGTGCCGCAGAAAGATCGGTACCAGCGAGGATGCTCAGAGAAGACAGTTAGAGTATTACGGGTCAAGTCAATGCAAAGAGAAAGATTAAATTTCTAACAGAGCTACGGTGGGGATCTTATACCCCTGCGATCAAAGCCCTATTCTCGCTTACTTGTTCAGGAAGGAACAACTGACTCGCCATCCCAATCGGGAAGGAACGAAAAGGGAAGGAACGAATCCCAATCGTGACATGGAATACAATATACTAAGAGGATAATAGGATTTGGGTTCACTAGAGTACGTTTTAGTGTTTAACTTTTAGATGATGGAATGAGGCGGCTCTTTACCTGAATGGCATAGTTGGGGGTGGTATATAATTGTGCCTTCAGTGCAGTGTACCCAAACCCCTAATTTATCAGTAAGGTGATGAATGAGTAAGGTGCTCGTTTGGGTATTACCTTGATCACAATCCCGAGGAAGTTTGTTGTCACATTCCCAGCAGTCTGAGAGAACAACATCTGTAAGATTAACAACCACGCATGCGGGTCTCTCAATGTTCCCTGCACCTGCTCCCACTTGAAATGAGCTATAGAAGATGATTAGTACATGATATCAAACAGGTTCCTAGGTGGCTTGCTATCTTTAAGTCCAAGCTAGGCCTGGGCAACGCGCTTGACAGCTATAGCCCTTTCTCGCCCACTTAGCCATTTTGCAGACTGTGGCGCATCGGGCATGAAAACAAACTAGATAAATTAGGCTTTACATCGGAAATAGTAGACTGCACATATCATAAGCACCCCTGTCAAACTGCTCAAGAGACCAATGATGAGGAAAATGAGCCGCCAGGATGTCTGCAGACGTTAGCTATAGCAAAGCATAAAGACAAAGATGAACCTACTAACTATGGGACCTGTTGTGACATGACTAAGCCCCGCAGTTCAAAGTTAGATTTTTTGAAAAGAGGGATCTGGTGGCATACAGACCATAGTAAATGATTAAGAAGGGCACCGGAAGAGCACCGTTTGTCATAGTCCATAAACCAAACCGCAGAAGCTGCTCTTCTTGTGTATACCTTCATCTCATTAGCATGAATAGTATATTGCCAGATATCCCACTAACCACATGGTTGTGCTGAAGAACAGTGCATTAGCTTATATCTTATACCCATCCAGATTTGTTCAAGACATACACAAGCAATAGTCCAGGAATAAGGCATGATTCGAAAAGCCTAAGGTCTTATCAGCCACAGATTTTATTGCCAACAAATGAATATGTTGTACCCAAGAATGAACCTCAATACCAATATTAAAGCAAATTCGTGGCCCCAATACAACATAGCAAGGCATCACCCATAAACTTTCCAGCGTGGAAATATTGCAGGCCGCGACCAGAGAAGAAAGACCCTGTCAGGTATCCAAAATAGAATATCTGTCCCCACCTTCATTAGTGGTCTTGTCTTGAGAGGGCCAAGCTGGGGAGCCATACAGAAACACACCAAGAGTACTCTTGGCCAACAAGGTGAAGATCATCGCGAAGACCATATGTCGTGGCGGCCAAGACCAGACTATAATATCGCATAAGAATCCATGGGATGGTAGGAACTGCTCTTTCATATGTACCTTGTCCACAAATCGTAGACCGCAGACCCAAGCAGCGAGGGGAACAATTCGCCAATCAATATTTCGCAGTAGCTTTCGATGTTCTAATCTATTAGGTCGATAGAGACTACAAAAGTGGTGAATACTCACCCTCGGCCGGGTATTCAATATCCTCCTGGTCCATTAATATCTGGGCAATATCATCCAGATTGTTGTCATCTCCATTTCCCTTGCCCATTGGGGTTAGAGAGGTAGCCTCTTTCACTTCATCCACATGCTCCCTCGAGATTACCGTCGGAGTAGGCTGCGGGAAGGACATCGTGGCAGAAATTCGAAGAAGAGTAGATGAAAGGTTATTGCTAGCTGACGGACATATAAGGAGGCTTATAGATGATTTCCACCACATATACCTTTAACCCTAAAGCTTACCTAGCGCAATAATCAGAGTCCGGTCATTTATTTCTGAAGTTGGTGTTTAAATTTATTAGTCTGAGATCCACAGGCGTTTAGGTCTTGGCCTCTTAGGTCGGCAAATGAAAGGGCTTTGCTACTGGTCGACCGTAACAAGATTAACTGTAGGAAAATCCAGGGAAATTGACCCCAGATTCCAGCCCTAAGACTCACGAAATGCGGAGCCATGTATTGACGACCTTTGAAAACATGCCCTTAAGTTATTGTGAGATGTCAGGTCACGTGTAAATAGAGAAGCATACCAAGATGGAGAGAAAGAAGAAGTAAGTTACAAAGTGGGAAACGGCCTGATTATTGCGGAGCGAAGCGAAGCAATTAAATCATAACCTCGCGGGCATGTCACGTGACCAGGTCTTTTCTCCTATGGGCTCCAAAATCATAAGAAGCTATGCGGTCAGCTAACTTTGGCAGAATATCCTAACCGGCAGAATAAATAGACTAGAGAAAGAACCATCATTATCTTCCCCAGAGCTTCTACATCACACTTTACGTAGCATTAGAAGTTAGAATCAGTCGTTTTGCTCTGCAACGACTATCGGGCGGCCGCAGGCCATCCAGATCCCTCGTATAGTTGACCCTTTGCAAACATTGCAAACATCGAACCTTCTCGCTTAGCAAACATAAACAGTAAATTGTACGAAAAGCGGCCAGAAAAGCGGTGAACTTTTATGGTAGGCGGTCAGTTGAAGCCTAAGAGATCAGACAGCAGGAGTCCGAATAAACCAAAAGGGGGTCCCGAATAACCATGTGGGAGTCTCTGATACAATCCCCTATGGCGCAAGTATCCGTATTTTTTATAGAAGAATTTCAAGGGGCGATACACTTCGGTGAGGTCATCAACCGCTGTTTCAGGCGCCCAGAGGTCGGACTACACGTGACCAGTATTATACGTGACCGGTGCTTTGCCATCGCTCCTTTCTTCCTTCACCAATACTTGCCTTATCTCTCAGAGCATGTTTCCTTTGGCACCTCTGTGCACGACTAGATCAAATCATGTCAAATCTTGACAACCTATATCCCACGGAGATCTGCTTCCAGAAGAAGATTTTTGCCTCTTCATATTCCGTAATATTTCTTGTCACTGTCCGCGGCCAGACATGTGTTATGAAGGTGGTGAGTCAAGCCAGCATAGGTAGCTTTGACTACCGAAATACTAACATGCGAAGCATCACGGAAGGGGCCCACGGCAATATTACGAACCAGAGAACTGTGAACTCGACATCCATGTGCTTGAAACCACTGCCTACACCCAACTCAAAGACAGGGGTCTATGTGACCGTGGAATCGTGCCCAATTTCCTAGGGTCTATGAGGAAATTCGATCCATCTGCGTGCCTACCCCACTTGAAAATGTTCCTGGACGACGAATACCCACCTAGCGCCATATTCTTGGAGTATATCACCGGTCTGGAAATGATCACTCTAGAGAATTATACGCAGCAACGGATGGATAATCTCATCAGTGGTATCCAACAAATACATAAGGCCCTAGTGCGGCACAGGGATCCCAAACCAAGGAACATGATGGTCGTTACAGGTACTGCCGAAAGAGTGGTGTGGATGGACTTTGATCGAGCAGAAACCTACGACGAACATCAGATCACCAGTGAACAGGAGCAGCTTCTCAGAAATGAAGAACAAATTGTTGTTGACATTGGCGATTGCCTTGTGAGAACTCCTCCCTCTGAAGGCATGTGCCATGACGTTGTCTAACCACATTCACCAGGCCTGCGACCATGCAAAGGGGAAACTCGACGAAGCATATGTTTTTTACTGCAACTGATGATCAAGCTCTTCCTTGGCCCCGATTTACTAGGTTGTAGCTGATCTTCCGAATCGAACGCTCTGTCACAAATTCTTCATAAGCCGCTTAGATCTGGTTTTCCCATCATTTAGCTGACGCAGGTCTGAACGGGCATCTCTGAAATACCGAAGCGAAGGCTCGGCAAGTCCACAACTTTCAACTGTGAGACCTCACAACAAAGAGCCAAGGGTCTCTCGGGGATAACCCGGCCTTCGGGGCTTCCAATGTTGATTTGCATATTATCACTACTCAGCTATGGAGGGCCAAGTAGGCATACCTACACCTCATTCAACTCGACACAACAAACTCAGCCTATGAAGCAGAAAATTCCACAGCATTGGGGTCTGGCGCGAGTCCGAATTGAACATCATTTTGCAAAGACATGGAAACGTTCTTAGACAGACACGCCTTCCACCGAATCCTCTACCGACCTCACCATCATATCGGAGAATGCTTTGATAAGTACGATATCCGACAATATTTTTCCAAGAGTTCGACGTCGGAGAGTATGCAATAATTCTAAATTCCTTCACACCTGATACTTCATTTTACCCACTTGGAGTTCCGGAAGGCATAAGCTGGAACCACGCTCCTAGAGATATCAAGCTGTCTTGGAAATGGAACACTGCTATAGCAGCATATCCCAGTCATACCGTGCGCATGGAGTACTGTCAACCATTTAGTTAAGTGAATTGGTATAAGAAGTAGCACTATTCTCGATATAGATTTCTTATAACTAACCGAGAACTAGTTATGTTTCGACGGTAACCTTGAACTTGTCCCGACTATTCCATTCACTAGTGGTAGAACTGCTGCGCAATCACAATTGACAGTCTTGTTAGCGCTATGGTACCTGGGTATGCTCGCTGCCAATGATCAAGGAGCTGGTCGCTGAAATATGTAGGCAATATCCAAATCAGGCCACAATGCGTGCCAGAATCCTTTTCTATTTTTTATGTACCGTTGCCTGCTTGGTTGTTTTGTCGTTACTTGATTAGGTAGTTTTTCAGACCTCTCTTTGCCCGTGTATGACTCTTGTTTCGTTTTCGTTATCCCTATGAGCTTATATATATGGATCTATGGCAGTTCTCTCCACAACTAACATATCGATCGATCACTTCTTGCTCCTTGCTTCCACAATTCGATGCTCCATATCTCCACTTTATCGCAGTATTCAAGTCCTAGCGATATTACAGTAATGAATCTGGTGGGCGATAGAATGAGTTCTAGTATAGATACTGTAGAATTGAAAGTATAGAGAACAAGAATAGTCGGCCGCTTATTCCAACAACAATGTTATTATTTTCAGAATTAATAGACCACCGTTGTTGAGATATCAAGTTGTAATTTATCGCACTTACTATGTGTTTTGGACTGTGCCGTTCAACTTGTGCACCGCTCGCATGTGAGATACGTAATAGGGAGTTACATCTTGTTTTATAATTATCAGGGAATGTTTAAAGGGACAACGGGCTGATCCTAATTTAGCTAGTATCAATTTGATTGTAAAAACAGGAAGAGTGCGGCACAACTACCACCTGATGATCTTCGTGGGGAAGTACTCATCAATGAGCTCCATGTAGTAAGGCTGTCCAGTACCGAGTTAGCATGCATCGTGGTAGAATCCAAATATCCAAGGGTCAAGCTTACCTTCAGCTTCTCAGGATCTGGGACTTCGTCGCTCTTGCTGTACAGATCGTAAGGGTTGAAAGCCCTCACAGCTTCCAGCATCTTATGATCATGTTCATTCATCAACTCATGGTATGCGTTCTCCCGGTGCCACGGGTAGAATGAATGGTACCGAATCATTGCCAGGCCCTCCTCGGGAATTGTGGACTGATCTTTGACGATATGGTAGAGGTATTCGTCGTGGCCCCAGCAAAGCATGACGTTTTCCAATCCGCAGCCAGGAGAATAGATTCCATACTTGGTGCTATAGACCTCGTTGTTATAGTCTTCATTGTCCTTGAAAGACTTGTTACCGAAGATAATCTTGTCGTCGAACGCACAGCCAACTGCAAAGGTATCGCCAACAACATCCCACTGACCCTTGGCCCCGAAGAAAAAGAGAAGCTTGCCAAGGTCGTGGATGAGTCCGACCAGCTGCATCCAGCGAGGCTTTCCCTCTTTGCGGATTGCTTCAGCGGATTGCAAAAGGTGGGTCATCTGGGACTCGGAGGTATCGGGGTCACATTCATCGATGAATGTATTCAGCTTCTCCATCGCCTCCCAAACAGTCATGTGTGCACGAGTCTTGGTTTTGAAGTCGTTGCGTGCTTTCAGGTTGTATGCTACCGTCTGAAGGGTGTGTTGCTGGGCATAGAAGTTTTTGACTTGGTCACAGGCATCCTCGAACTGACGGAAGCCAGCCTTGTCTTTGGACTTGTCGAATTCGGATTCATCGTAAAGTCCTTTGTCTTGTTTGAGGTCTGTCTTGTGGACATTGACAGCATCGATGTTGTCGGACATTGTCTCGAGGCTGATAGGGGCGGACTGCATTGCGACGGCCATATTTGCGGGCTGGTTCTCTGTTGGATTTGTTTGGTTTTCAAGGGATGTGATGAGAAATATAATCGATTGGAAGGTCTCTGGCTCTATTGCTTCATCGGAGGGTCTACAGCGAGACACTTATAGCCTGAGCTCAGGGATGTATTGAACAATTCCCGGATCGTATTTTCCGTGGTGATAAAGCAGTTTCAAATTGAACGCTGGTTATTGATCGGTTCTTTGCTTCCGCTTCCTATGTCATTATTATCTCTGCCGATATATGATGACCACCATGACTTGATGTGGAAAGCGGATTCCGTGCTGTCTTGATTCGTACACCGGGGCGTAGCTTCTTGATTATTAGATGTATTAAAAACCAGTAGCTTTCGAACAGGCCACAGTTGGCTATTATGGTCATTTTCCGTGCAGCTCCGGTGTATGTTGTCTCTGGTGAAAGCTAGAACTCATGTAGTATTATCATATCGGAGTGTACAGAAACTTATATCTTCTATCTGATGAACATATGACAATATCGTAATCACGACTAGAATTCCAGTTTGCGTCTCGCTTATCACCCCGATATAGCCTTCGGCATTTAATATCATCGAGCATGGAAACTTCATTTTCTCCCCGGAGACCTCGGTCTTCTGGACAAGTGCAGACAAGCTTGTTATCCCTTGTAGATTAAATCCACATGATATGAGTGCCTGAGGTATCTAGGTTCTGATATGCGGGAGTCTGCCAAGTAGATCAGACCGGAACTCAGGGATTCCATGTTATGTTGCTGTTATGTTGCTGTTATGTGTTTTCAATTCGTGGCTGATGATAGGCGAACTAAAGATAGGACAAAATGCGGGATGCGCCCCCCCCACACTAAAACAACCTTATTTCTCGGCCTTCATTTTCCGGAATATCCATACATGTACGTATAGTATGTAGTCGCCACTTTGCTTACAGACAAATTCGGAATTATCGGGGAACTGGTTTGTTTGAGCATCCATCCCTCATCTGTCAGTGACCAGCGGAATGACCCTTTCTTCCATGGTATCCTTCGCTGTTCTGGTGACCTTCATAACCCAGGATGTATTCTGCCATCCATCATTGCTTACGAGTAAAACTTCCTAGCCCAAGTTTAGAAACGCCTTCCAAGGGTCATGGATTCTTCGATTGATTTAGCGGTAGTATAGGAATCTCTTGCATTCAGAGATTCCACGTTCGTTATGACCGAGTTCATTGATTGAATGTTTAGTTATGGGACAAAAAGATGAATCCATCGAAATTTCAATTTCAATAGTATCCAATATCTTGGAGCGTGCGAATGAACTGATATGCAAAGCACTGCGCTATGTACTTGAGGATCGAGGGTTTGCTTTTCGAATTGGATCATCAGACCATTCCAGAGGAAGATACAGATTAGCCTTGAATATAAGCAACCTGCTTGGAGGGGCATCATATTTCAAAACCCCCTCAATTTTCGTTGTGTCGAGCATTCTCAAGTCCTCCTTTCCATGGCCCGAATCCAAACCCTGCTTGTCCCGATCGGGTAACATTGAGGCCTGATATACAAGGCAGAAGTCTTAGAGATCATCGGTCTCCGGGCCACCGTAACGCCGAGCTTATTAACCTTATCAGCGTTATCGCCCGGCTTCGTCATCGCTCTTCGCACCCTAGATCGAACATCGAATAGTCAAAAGCCTTAAGATCGGACAAAATTGGTGATCAGAATTCCTCAAAGCATTGATCTAAATTACTGAGAATTTCCTTTCCTATCCTCCCAAAATGAGCTCAACCAACAACGTCGCCTTCACCGCCCCGATCAACCCACCAGGCGCAAGACCCGTTATCACCCCCGAACAAACCTGGAAGGGCCTCCTCCTCAAGATCCGCTCCGCAGAAACATTCGTTCCGGGAGCAATTCAATCCACCAGGGTCGTCAGTGAATCCATCGACTCATTAACTGGGAACGCCGTCACCGTTCGCGAAGTCCTCTTCCGCGAAACCCAGAAGAAGGTTCTAGAGACCGTTACAGCTTTCGAGCCTGCCCGGGTAGACTTTGATCAGCCAAATGGAAGCAAGATCAGCAATGTGATTAGTCAAGGAGCTGGTGGAGAGCTGTACATGACGTATATCTTCGAATGGAGACACCCAGGTGTCTCGGAGGTGGAGCTGGCGGAGCTACTCGAGAAGGAGAAGAAGATGAGCCAGGCAGCAGTTGAGGGAACAATCAAAGTGTTGAGGCAATTGGTTGAGGAGAAGAAGCTTTGAAGTTGATGATTGGCGGGAAACGCCGTCCTTGACAATCATGAAACCCGTCTTCGACCCTTGTTCATGTCCTCAGTAAACTTGACCCCGTAATCACCACATCTTTGATGTGGGGTGCTCTCAGAGTAATAATTCAGCAGAACTTTTCTTTTAATAGCCCTGTCACCAGTCATGCTAGAAGCGAGTAAAGCAGTCGTGGGCGAGTCGAATCGTTTCCGCCGAACGTGCGACTTCCATATAAGGTTCCATGAATCTTCAGTCACATAGTCAACATCCTCCGAGTTCATCTGGCGGAGAAAGGTAACTTGTTTCTTGACAGAAATTAGTCGAATAGCCTGAGCCCATTCCTTGCGTGTCAAAAACACTACATCAAGCTCCAGCTCTGTCAGCCCCTCGCATAGTCTCAGCAGACCCCAGCAGTTTTCAATATCATCCCACCCATTCCAGATCGAACCCGGCACCCATGTATCTGTACTACTGGGGATACCGCTAGTCAGATAAGGATGAAGAGGCATAAACGATATCCGTTTTAGCCACGATCTCACTTGCGGGCGGATAGCAGTCAGGAATCCCGTTAGGAGGGGAGGATCCTCGAAGGCGAACCAGTTCTCCTTCCAGAGGATCGGTGCAGCATCGTTCCAGAATCGCTTGCTGGCGAGCAGAATGGCTAGATTCTCATGTCTTCCGCATAGGCATGGTAAAAACTCCAAGCACGGAATCCCGTCAACACTTCCGTTCGGGTCCCAGTAGCAATTGTCGCAAAGATATGGATTCTTATATGGCTTTGCCCACTGGCTTCGTGCTGGTGATTTCAATATCGGTACTTGTGCCCGATTCCAGGTGTAGCTACGGCAGGCTGCACATTGGGGGCCTTCGAAGCTGTCGATAACCCGGCGATGTGGATCTGGGCCCGGTCTGCCATAAAAAATAGGCATTTTGCATGGGTAATAGTGTTCCAAATCAAATTTGCATCGCTGCACGAGAAGTTTCCTGTAAATGATATTCCTGATCTCTTGTGGAAGGGAGAAGAACCTAGGGTTACAATGTTAGGAGTAGAGTGATAGGTACAAGAGGATATACCTCTTGAAAAGGGGGGACTGTTCGTGTTCCAAAGGTTCGGTGAAATGTGTCTCCTGTACATGATGTGCCTTTGATCTTGCCTGTCGGGCATGTAATTCTCGGCGTCGTGTATACCGATGAAGTTTAGAGGATTTCGCCATTAATGCGCAAATTTAGGAATAAAATGTAGATAATTGAACCGTTTAGACTTGCAAGGCCGGCTACCTATGTAGAATCATAATTAGTTACATAGTTGCAGTCCCCTGAAGTCCAAACGCTACGCCACGGCAAGCACTCAGCCTTGTGGTAACCCGAAATAGAACTGACCCTGCCTAGGCTGTGGCGCAGCACACCGGACATTTAGAATGAGAACAAACACCGCCTTCTGCAGAATGATTCATTTGTAATGTTTGGGTGGTTGCAACATTCATCTGAAGTGTTCCATTTTGTTTTTTTGGACCGGGGGGAGACTCCGTGTTCGTACTCCGTGAACCACGAATAAAGCCAAGTCCCCAATTGGCAGCATGAGGGTTACCACCGCTGCGCCTCCATTCACGTGCACGCTGAGACAGATACGATGGCTGGGCTGGCAAGAAGAGGGGGGCCAAAGGGGACCTTGAAATCAATTAAGATGATATTTTGGCAAGGGCTTCTTTCTAACAGATTGCAATAGCGAAAGTCAAGAGCCTGCCGGAAATCCGGTTGATTTGTATGTGAGGGCTTGCTCCATCGGTCAGGCTGAGGACCTTTCGTTGGAAACATGTCTTCTTGGGCAATTTTACCGAAGAAGCATGCTTGACGGATGATACAGCAATCCCATTTTAGGTCTCTCTGGGGACAAGGTATGCTAGCGTCAGCCTTGAATTCACTATCTATGGATGCAATAAATTCAATGGGCTTAGCCTCTTTAGTGGTCAATAGCTTCTGGTGCAACCCAAAGGCCCGTAGCTAGTTTTCTCAGACGTGCCCACTTTTCTGAATTTCTTTTCCAGCCTCACTGCCCCAGCCTCACTGCCCCAGCCAAATCTCCCGGGGCCTTTGTGGAGCCTTTCCAACACCATCAAGCGCATCAGCACACTCTAGATACAGTGTGCCGTGTGCCATGTGCTGTGACAATCTGTGTAGCTCAGACAGAGTTCCCCTTCGTAACATTTGCCCCACCGAGAGATCCAGATTCTCCATCTTCAGACCCAGAGCCAACTTCGGCATCGATACTGGCAAAAACAGCGTCCAGCTCCTTGCACAGGTCGTCGGCAGTGATGGCAACAACCTCTTCTTCCATGTTCTTGAGGTAATACCCTCCATTCTCGGCGTAGAGAACTGTATCCGAGTGAATCTTGACTAGATCGTTGAGGGATTGTCTGTCATGGACGACAATGGCGTCGCTCGGGGGCGTGGTCTGATACCGAGTAAGAGCTTCAACCATGGTGGCCCAGAAGGATAGGAAGTACACAAGGTAGGTGAAGGTGGATTGCATATCCGAAGTCGTGAGGGGAACTTGAGGGTAGTACTACTACCTTGGGTAGTGGGGTATCAGGATCGTGTAGTTGCCCTGTTGTTCAGGCAGAAAGGTATTTTGGCTCATCATATCAAATCGAAAGGACTTAGCATTTTACAAGGATATTTCTACTAGGAAGGTTGAATGATTGAGGTTCCATGATCTCCTATACTTGCTAGTTGGCCTACTTGGAAGGTTGGTGTTGTTGGTTGCTCTGCCAGACTACCCATCGTGCCTTTCCTCTTCACTAGGTACCTCCAGGACTATGGAATCTAGCTATTTCTCTCGACAGGCAGCAATGAATTTAATCATAGGCAGCCTTGACCTTGGGAGATGCCGTTGCGCCAGAGAAGACTATACAAAAGTATTGCATTATGACTCATTAAAGCTCTAGGGTTGTTATTTAGGCATGAGGAATCAGCACTTTTCCCTCGGACACGCTAACAGCAGTGCCCGTCAGCACAACCTGTTCAATCTCCTTGTCGCCAGACAACGTAGCCTCAACACCAATATCACTGCGGCGTCCCATTTCAACACCCTGCACAACGTGATACTGATAATTCTGACCCCCCTTACCCTCCGTAAGTGTCAAGTACGCCGCCAATCCACTAGCCGCACTGCCAGTAGCCGGGTCTTCCAGGTTTCCCAGTATCGTCCTAGACCGAATAACCTTCTTCTTCGTAACACTATCTTCAACATCCCGAACAATGAAGTACACGCAGATTAACCCAGCCTTCCACCCTTCATCAAGATAATCAGTAGAGACCAGCTCACCGCCGGTCGCGGGCGTCACAGCAGCCAGTGCCTCAAGCGAAGGAAGCTCAATGAACAACTGACTCATCCCATTGACAATGGAAAAGAGCGGGAAAGTAACGTCTGGCCGCGTGAAGAACGGCGCTAGCGTAGGGTGCAGCCTCACCAATTCCTTCAAGCTGAACCGCGTAGCATGGATGCGTGTGTTGTGCGCAATCCGCGCAGCGACGTATTTGGTCACGTCGTTCTGGACGGAGATGGGGATGTCGCCGGACTTGGTCGCGAGGGTGGTGACGCCATCGCCGTCAGCGGGGTCAGTTGAGTGACTCAGGAACCAGGAGGCCGCGCCAATGGTAGGATGGCCTGCGAAGGGGATTTCGCAGTCTGCGGTGAAGATATCGATGGTGCGCTTGCTTTTCTCGCGTACTGGGTGCACAAAGATACTCTCCGATAGATTGAATTCCCGTGCGATTGTTTGTTTCTGGCTCTGCGTCAGAGCGTTTGAGTCGTCTTCTGGGAGGAAGACAACTGCTAGCGGGTTGCCGAAGTAGGGTGTCGATGTGAAGACATCGAGGGTGACGAATGTAAGATGAGTCATGTTGGGATTTGGGATATTGGTATATGTCGTGGATATCGGGGATGTCGGGGACGTCGGGTGGTTTTTATAGTTGCAAGTCCCCCACTTTTCGCTTTTGACTCACAGACATGCCCCCTTAGAACAATTCAAGTATTTAAACGACAGAAGATGTGTGGAACTTGCACAGATATCCGACGAACAGGACAAACAAATTCTCATCCTCCACAATGCCCAAGATGCCAACCCTCGCTTGCAGGACTGGCGCATTCCCTGGGGCTCGGCATGGTTGTAGGGTGTCAGTTTGTCTATGCTGGATAGAACGATAACCTGAAATATGAAATCGTAATTGTTCTCGTTGAGCTTAGGTATCCGATGCTTTACAATTCCGTTTCCATCACAATGCCAAACGCCTCATCAGGTCATCATAATCGAAACTTCTCACAAATATCAAAGTGAGCTCACTATTCGGAGTCACTCTCAATCACAAATCCACCGCGCATACGTCTCCGGGCCAGAACCACAGGCTCATCTTCCACGTCATCGTCTACAGAATCGGGCTCCGTAGCTTGGGGTTTGCTAGGATGATCTCGAGTGAAGGCGAAATCATCATCAAAAGCAAGATCATCATCACTTGGCGTGGGACGGGTATCTTCGTCCTCTCCGGCGCCATGACTAGTAGAGATTCCTTGCTGGGAGTGAGATGATTGAACGTCGAGTTCTGCCATGAGGATATCGCCATCGGCATCACTCCCAGCCTCGCTAGCAGCAGAACCAGAATCACGACGTTGTCGCTTGGATTTTGCGGCTGCAGAAGTGCCAGTGTCGCTAGTTCGCTTGCGGGCGGCAGACTTCTTGCCTCTGCCCTTTCTTGGAGGCTGGACGGGTCCAGTGAGCAACGCCTTCTTGATTTCTTTTGCTTGTTGAATTCTCCGCTCTTCTTCAAGTCGGAAGAACTCTTTGTCGGCTTCTGCATCGCTTTCTTCGTCGCTGGCATGGATGAACAGATCACTCTTGATCTTCGCTTGGCGAGACAGTGCGTTTGATAGACGCGCATCGCGCCGCGCCTCTAGAGTCTCTTCATCCAGTGGCTCCGTTTCTGTGGTGGCTTTTTGCTTCTTCTTGCGCTTCTTTTTGAGGTCATCCAGCGCACTAGACTTTGACCGCAGATTCGCTGGGAATAAAGGACCATCTGGAATATCCTCACCTTCGGACTCTGATCCGAAGTTGACATCAAGCGTGCCTTGAGTAGTGCTGCCGCGACCGCTTCCTCTGTGCTTTGGTTGGATCTGCTTCCGAGGATCATCATTAACATCCCCGGAGAACGGGTTTTGAAGGGCTTTCAAGATTTCAGAAACTGTTTCACGCAAGTCGTCGGATTTGAGAGACGCCGGGACGACCCAAGAGGCACCAAGCACATCTTCAACGCCGAGTCGCTCGAATCCGACGACGGTCATGAGCAGACGTAGCTTTGCGTTCGAGAACATGGCATTCTGAACAAACTCGTTCTTGCCTTTGACAGCTGTTTTGTTGTTAGTACCAGTCGCGAAATAGGGTGTTAGGAGAACATACGAATCATCGGATTGGGAACGCCGGTAGTCTCGGAGTTCTCAGCGCGATTTACTTCTTCTTGAGTTTCCCAGTCCTCTCTTTCGGAGGCTGCAGAGCTCAAGACATCCTTGATCCAGGTAGCCAGATCTGCTCTACCATCGAGAACGAGAGCACTAACCACGATGTGCAGTTTCGCTTCCCTTGTCGTCGCCTCCGTCGATGTAATCATGAGCTCCGGCGGGGGACGCTTATATGTGGAAATCGTTTGCTTTTCGTGTCCATATTCAAGGTAGTAGATAGTGGAGTTGATCTTGCTAAACAGCAATTCAGTGACCAAGGCAGGGCGCTGCTCAAGCTTTTTGACTAGTCGTCGAATGATTTGCCGGACCAATTCCTCCCATTCCTTGAAGATAGGCTCGTTTGAGTCCATGGGGCCTGGGCCTTTAATCATTCGATAGAAAAGGCCGATGATATCCACACGAAATAGCAAGACAGTCATCTCCTGCTTGAATGCAATACGGTAGAAATATCGGTGGGCGCGTTTGAGCTGCTCAGGGTTGAGCTCCCGGTAGAATCCTGTGAATGAAATGAAGGTATCCACACAGTTTTGGTTGCAAAATTTGGCTGAGAATCGCTTAAAGTCAAAGCTGCGTTCCTTGGTGACCTGGGCGGCTTCCTCCATGTCTTCATCTTCAGAATCACGCTCCTCATCATCATCTTCTCCCTCTTTTTCGGCGACTTGGGCGGCCTTCTTTTGCTTCTGTTTGGCCTTTCGCCGCGAGCGGATTTGCATGTCGGCGTTGTCTTTGGAATACCGTTCCAGCATTCGCAGGAATACATGTGCTAACTCCGTGCAGGCATCTAAATAGCCAAAGCCTTGATCTTTGTATCCGCGCACAATAGTAAGGATCCGGTCATGGGTTGTTTCTTCGTAGAAAATACGGTTTTGAATATTCTCCGCAATTTCCTGGTCTTCTTCGAGCGGTGACACTGCCATTTCCTGGACAGTCAGCAGAATCTGGGTGAAGCAGCGCATCTGGGCATTGATATCTTCCCATTCCTTGTTGTCTAGGCTATTCTGCATAGCACGGTTCAAAGAGATGAACGTCTCTTGGTTCAGGACGCCAGCAACCAGACCATAGCTATCGGGTTCAATATCTTTGGTTCTTCCTCCATTCTGAGCTGTGCGATGACGGAGCTGTCGAGCCCGCCGTATGCGCTCCGCTTCAAGGAACCAACCCACTAGGTAGAAGAATTGGCGATGATTTATCGGTACGACACGCTCAGCTTCACGCTCGATTGCTTTTCGCACATGGGTGAATAGAGGATTGAATCCAGAATCCAGGAACTCCTCCACGAAAGTCCTCAGGTTCTTAGTTGCCTCGGAACTAAGGTGAGCTGGCATGTTGAAGTTACTATTTTGGTCCACATCTTCCTGTCTGCGACGAGGCCGAGGCTTATTCCACTTTTTACTCTCGTCCATCTTTTGTAGTGTAGTCTGGTCGTCGCGCAATACACTTTGTCCAGAGACAGTAGACATCTTCTCATCGTCTCGTTTGACCCAGATCATTGTACCGAATCTTCCATGGCGTGTGGGTGCATTCTTTGCGTATTCCCTCCGTACCAATGATTCTTTTCTCAGTAGATCGCCGAGTTCGTCAGTCCCCTTGGCCTTTCGCTGCTCATCGTCCATGAATAATTTCTCGACGTTGACACCCTTGACAATATGGAAAATTGTCTCCATCAGAGGAATATCTTGAAGGTTGAAGTCTTCGCCGACATTAGAGCACATAGTCAAAAGGAGGGCAAATGCATCTTGCTCATGGAAGGCGTTGATTGTTGCCGATCTGGATGTCTCCTCCTCGTCACCTTCTGCCGCAAGTCTGGTATTCGGGGATATGATCGCAATATTCCGCAGCAAGTACAACATCAACTTGAGAATTCCTTCGTCTCGGGTTCCACGTTCGGATCGAGGGGTGGCCATGCTTGGAAGAGAAATTCGAATGACTGCGCGAAGAATATTCAATCCTCCGGACCTCAGGATACCTCGCTTGTATTGCACCTGTGTCTGTTGGATGTAGGGGGTATGACGATGGTGGTTGACTGTCATCTGGCTATGAATCTCCACGGGCCATGTTAAGGGCACAAGAAGTTCCAAGCACGCCAGTGCAATCCTGGTCATATGCTTACTGTTCTGCCCACTAGTCCACCAGAGCGAGAGGATTGGAAGCAGATCACCATTGATCAAGTTGGCCTCTCCAAGGCACCGCGCAACATCCATCCGGTTATTCTTTTCATCGTACAATTTCAACCAGCGTTTGATATCGCGTAGACATGCCAGCGCATCGTCTCCGAGTACGTATTGGTCAGCATCTTCGCCATTGAATCCTCCGAGCTGGATAACCAAGCGTATTAGCGAATTGACCCAGAGCCAGGGCAAGGAGAAAATAGAAGTGTACTCACAGCAGTAACCAGGCCGTAAACATAGTTGCGCACGTCTGGGTCCACGACTTGCACGTCGTGTCCTAGAGGAACAACCTCTTCATCCATGGTGGGCTGGTTTGAGACCCCATTAATTTGCTTCCCGAATCGGGTTGAATGGGAACGCGCCGACGCGTCGGCGTCGGCGCCTCGGAGAAACTGAATGCCGCCAAAATGCCGAAGATAACCGATGTTTACGCCAAATATCAACGGCCACTGCGGCAATATCAATATCTGGCAAAATATCAGATCTATAGATCTGAGTAGTAAGAGGTAAGTAACCCTTGAACTTGCAAGACCTCAGATATATTCTCAAGAACCTGGCCTGGATATTGCAAGAGCTATAATTTCTCACTAGACTTTTTTAAAACACTTCCAAGATTTTGATTTTTGGAGTACTCAAGCTTTGGGCTTGTTCCCTTTTCGGGGCCTTTCTTCTGAATGATATGGATAACAGGCAGCCCCATGATACTCAACATTAATCCTCGACTCTGCTCTATATCCATGGATCTATAATGTGATCGTAAAATGAAGCCGGTATATTCGAAGAAGTCGTTATTTGCAAATGGAATCATCAAGGCGGTGAAATATACGCTTGGTGGCCACTGTCGAGGGCCTTACAATGACCTCCGAAAGCACGTGAAGTCATAGCAGTATACTTCTGCGCACTTATATTCTTCCCTCCTTTTGTTCTTTTTCCCATAGTTCCAGAAATCACTGCAGCCATGCTTACCTCTACTCTTCGCTTTGTTTCCCTCCGCAGAGGCCCTGCGGTGGCCCGCAACTTCTGCTCAACCTCTGCAGTCCGCGCAGCCGAGGTCAACTCACTGGGCGTTGTCGGTGCGGGCCAAATGGTGTGTAACATAGAATATACAGCTACGCTGCAGGTCTAACACTTTTCAGGGCTTAGGAATTGCACTTGTCGCTGCACAGAATGCAAAGGTCCCGGTAACTCTCGTTGATACCTCGCAGGCCTCTTTGGATAAGGGCCTTAAGTTTGCCGGTACGCTTCTAGTTTATTTACTGCAATCGCCTGGAATTATCTGACATGGCATTGGATGAAAGATAAACTTCTCGAAAAGAATGTAGCAAAGCAGCGCCTCACTCAAGAGCAAGCTGATGAAGTCCGCGGGCTTATTACTACGAGTTTGACGCTGGAAGGTCTCTCCGGTGTCGACTTTGTCATTGAGGCTGTGCCTGAGATCCCGGATCTGAAGTCAAAAATCTTTGCCAGCTTGGCCCAGATCGCGCCGAAGCATGCCATCCTTGCAACAAACACCTCCTCCATCTCCATCACCAAGATCGCCTCTGCCACCAACACGGATCCTACTGACCTTCAGGCTTCGTCCCGGGTTATCTCAACCCACTTCATGAACCCTGTTCCCATCCAGAAGGGTGTGGAGATTATCCGAGGACTCCAGACCTCCCAGGAGACCACGGATACTGCCATTGCCTTTGTCCAGCGGATGGGTAAGGTGGCCTCTGTGTCGGCCGATACACCCGGCTTCATCGCCAACCGTATCTTGATGCCTTATCTTAACGAGGCCGTGATTTGTCTGGAGACTGGCGTGGGTAGTCGTGAAGATATTGACAGTATCATGAAGACTGGCACCAACGTGCCCATGGGCCCCCTTGTCCTGGCTGATTTCATTGGCCTCGACACATGCCTTGCAATCATGAACGTTCTTCACCAGGAGACTGGTGACAGCAAGTACAGACCTGCTGGTCTCCTGCGTCGCATGGTGGATGCTGGCTGGCTTGGCAAGAAGAGCGGCAAGGGTTTCTACGACTACTAGTTGCTGAGCGTATGGGAAGAAAGCATTTCGATCAAGATATCTTCCCTGCATTGTATTATTCTAGATTGCGATTTGCTGGGAAATAAATATTGATTACTTCTCCTCGTCCTTTCTCTAAGCCTCATCGTCCCACCAATGAGGTTCATCTGTCGATTCCGCTTGCTCCATTGCAGCGACCAGCGTATTAAAATCAATATCCCCTCCATCTGTGTCCAGGTCTTCATATCCGCCACCGCGTGCAGGACATGCGCATCGGCCGCGTTGGCCACAAAGGTAACTTATTAACGATTAGTGTTATTTTTTGCCTAGGACTTGCATGCATGAACATACCAAAATTGATGCCCACACCTGCAAATGATGTGGTTACATCCATCCACCTTCTCAACGAAATACAGGCAATTAGAGCATCTCTGCCATTTATTCTCCTTTGCCAGTCGCAACGTCGCCTTCGTCTCAGAGTCATGGCTACACGACCTGGCGAGATGGAAAAAGTTCCCACACTTGTAGCAAACTTTTGCCCGGCAATGAGGACAGACACAATATCCTAACCGTGCCCCGGGACTCTTTGGGGGAATCCATCGGCCACACGTCGCCCGAGGACAGTACAAGCGCTCTAGCGGAGGGATGCTATTCTCTTCCCATCGAACGGTATAGCGCTTTATGTTTCGTGGGCTCATCACTGCCTCAAGTGCTGTTGTGGGAATCTCTTGGAAACAACATTTTGCCGGGAACATACCCGGGCTGTTCAAGGCTGTCGAGGACATTCGACGGAGGCATGAGGGGCAGTATTGGTGCTGACAAGGAGCAGTAAATAAATTGGTCGTTGGGACCCTTTGAAAGCACCCTGTGCATCTATGAAGAGAGTTAATGTATTGCTTTTCGATTCGCTTTTGATTGGCTTTGTGCTTTACTGACAGGCCTACTTCCTCGCTAACTTTCTTGGATGCAAATACTCGCTCCAAGTAGTCTAGGAGTTTTCGGATGGACGAGCGGCTCTTGGCCATATTGCCGTGGATTCGGTATCAACTTGGAGGATCGATGCTGGGCCCTTCAAAAGGGGATAAATTGCATGGCCAGATCTAAGAATATGGGAAAGACATCCTCTTATGTAGAAGTGCAGGGTGCATCTCATCTTTCAGGTACGGGATTTTTAGCCATGGATTGGTAAACGCTATATTCTTTCTTATTCCTGAAGAGCCCATGGTTAATTATGGGGTGACAGCTACATCCTAGGGGTTGCGGTCTTGTAGCCAGTGTATCAAGAGGGCTTCGGCGAGACCAACTCTTCTTAATGATCTCTTTTATTCCGTTGACTCGCAAAACAATGATGGAGATGACTTCGAAGTGCTCATTATAATAGCCTTAAAAGTAGAGATGAACAGGGACCAGACGTGGATCCATGGATCTGGGAATTTCCCAAGCAGGCAAGAACACGGTTTATTCCAACATTAGAGCGAATAATCACATCGTAATGTGCGGAGTACGGTGTTCTAGCCTTGAACTATTTTTATATTCGTTCCAAAAGATTGTGTACATTGACCACTGACACTGAAAACTAGGGTATCACTAAATGCTATGAATGCTGCCGATTTCCGCCATTGTTAAAAAGAACTCCCGTGCATAATAAAGACTGATCAGGCCACTAGGACCTTATACAAGGCCAGCAAATCGTCGAACAGCCCATCCTGACCCGTATTCTTGATATTCTTGGCGAGTGATGGATACTTTGCTGAGTTCCTCCCTATTTGCAGCAAGGCGAGTGCCTCCTAGCCATGTCGAGTGAACAGGGCTATTGATGTTAGTACTTCCAAGATCAAGCCAGATGGATGACCACTCACTCCTTAGCCCGGCGTACTCTCACGACACATTCAGCAGAGGCGATCTGTCGCAATTCGGTTTCTCTATAAAAAGATAGTTCGTTAGTAAAAACTTCAACCAATTAACTTTGGAGGACCCACAGTCTTTCCATAAATCCCGGAATCAAAGCATTTCCTCCGACAACGAGAACATTCGCCAAGAAAGCAGAGTGCAGGCCAGTAGGCAGAACCGACAAACTTTGAAGAATCATATCGGGTATGCCGGCTGACTTCATACCAATATCCCCGGGGGTGAATAGAAGCTCCGGGACAGTAAAGCGCTCATTACCCAGCACCAGTACATCCTCCGACAACACTTCCGCGCTGAGCCCGGAAACCGCTCCTTTCTTCTTTTTAGCATGCAGAAGAGGATCATGCGGTCGAATGAAGCCCTTCTTGTTCGCATTCGGGTCTGGAAGTACATAGTCCAACACGATTCCCTCTTCGGGCCCACTCTGGCGCTTTCGGCGACTCTTCCATGCTTGCTCCAAGTCACCAGAAAAGTCATTGCTGACATAGCAAACCGCCTCTTTGACTTCATTCATGATATATGATTCATCCACCATGTTGTATTGTCTCATGGACACAATCTCCTTCAGGTAGTTTGTAAGGTGCTTGCCTCCAAGATCGAGTCTTCGGATTCCGCGTTGAAGCGCTTGGCCTTTGTAAACCGGGGTCACTGTGGTATGCGAGTAGCCAGAATCGACGACCAGTAAGCAATCTGCGGGCAAGATAGATGCGTCGGATGTATTGGAGAGCGGATCGCCGAAGAGAGAATGGATTTCGTTCCATGCGTTGAGGGTGGGACCTAGGATTTCAAGTCAGTACGGGATCATATCACCAAATATGAGACTACCGTACCCAAACATCTCGCATATCCTCCAAATCCCCATTCCTCCATAACCATCTCATCGGCGTGCCGTTGTAAAATGGGCAAGGCGTTCGGCGCCTCAGTAAGCACAAGTGTAGTATCTTCCGGGTCCGCGATATGATGATTCCGATTCCGAGCCGTCACCTTCCCATCAAAGAAAGACTGGTCCCAGATCTCTCTCTCAGCTTCCCAGTTCACAACATATCCCTTCTCCACCGGGCGCCGAAACATCGCCTCATTCCAGTCGTTGACTGTCGCTAGCTGGGCACCGATGACAATCTTGTTATCGCGGGTTCTGACGAGAGCATTAGGTATCGACGAGCAGGCGGAAACGCTTTCGTCGGAGGCCGAAGCATGAGAAGCGTAGCCGGCTTTGATCATGTACGCGCCATTGTCGATAACAAAGGTCTTGTCTGGAAGGTACCGCGACGTCTCCACGGGCTGTATTGGTGTTGCGGGCGTCCTTGGAGGAGCACGGGCCTTTGCTGCTACCATTATGGCTGGCAATGATGGACAAAAGGCTTTCAGCTTCTGTTAAGCTGGGATGCAATGATGAAGGTGTTTGTCTTGTTTGCTATTGAAAATTCCTGCTTAGGTAATCTGGTACTTATCCATCCGTGACTAAGTAGCTCCGCCATGGTCTGCACGAAACAATTCTTCCGAGGCAAGTCATACATACCCTATTTACCAATGCGTTGACCAATGCGTTTACCGATGCGTTTACCGATGCGTTTACCGATGCGTTTACCGATCCATGTCTGGTAGAAAGTGTATTGAGAAACTAAAGGTCAGGATTAAGTGCTGAGCATGTATTAAGTATAATCCTTATATTGTCACAGTCTCTCACTCTCATGTTTAACTATTAAATTATCTCCACGTCTAAGAAAAGGTTCACTTAATTAAATAGTCTATTTATATTAACTCCTACTATATTGGCGGAGTAGTCCGTACAGGTTCTAGATATATATATTAGACACATCCTAACGGGTTGCTTTCGGCATTTCACCGATATCCAGACACTCTAAATTAGTGGTTGTAACCTTTGCGTTACAACCATATGACAATACACCTGGAGAGGCGAACTCTATTGCCAATATAGTCCGTTTCTGGAAATGAAGATTTGTGGAACCCGAAAAGCCGTCCTGCCTAAACAAGCGGTTAATATAATCATGAATACGGAGTACATAGAGTGGCCTGCTAAACGTCTCCAACAGATCCTTCACGCCCAAAGCAAGGGATAAGCGGATGCTCTATCAGATGATCTCCTGTGTGTACCCACCCGTGGACTAGTCTCGAAGCCAGTTCAGATCTGTTGGCTACGATGTCAGACGTATCTCCGCGCTTGTGGTTGCATGACATGCACAACTCCAATTTCGTATCTGAAACCGCTAACGGTATGTTCCAAAATACCTCAATACACGGATGGTGAATTGGCTTTTAGAGGGTGAATGTGCTAGTAATATCTCAAAAACCATCCGGCCCCACTGCCGAGCAGCTTTAGTACGGAGTTATACTTTGGGTGCAGAAGTCTGGCAAATCCCGACAACCCGGTCTGTCGAAAGTGACTCCACAGGACTGTCAATTGAAGATCAATCACTAATTTAGGCCGAAATGCCGAGAGCGTTGCCCAACTCTCGGGCTTGACATGCTCCATACGGAGGATGGAGCACGGAGTACATTCTAAAGACGTAAAAGAAAAAAAAAAGAAAAAAAAACCAAGATAGAGGGGCTCACTTGCCTGAACCCCCTTAATCGGCATAATGACTTGCTTCCCCCCCCCCTTCTAAAAGTATATTATTGCACAACATAGATTATTCACATTCATCTCAAGACCGCTGGATATTACGAAATGGCTGCCCCTCAAACCGTCAAAGTCCCACACCTTGGTGGCATCAAGGCTGGATATGCCTTCTCTAAGAATCACTATGATCCTTCTAAGCCGACATGTGTGCTTATGAATTCGATGTGCATGACCGTGTCTCTCTACGATGATCAATTCAACAATCAAGTTTTGACCGATGCCATGAATCTTCTGGCCATCGAGCCATTAGGCCATGGCTCGACCAGTTCTCCCTCGGAACACTTCACGTACTGGGATTCGGCTCAAATGGCCCTGCAGGTTATGGACCACTTTGGAATCCAGAAAGCCTTCGTCCTGGGGACAAGTCAGGGAGGATGGATTGTGACTAGGATGGCCCTCCTAGCCCCGGAGAGGGTAGGTCTAAGCCCTGGGGTTAAATGGACTGCTGATTAAGCCTCAAGACAAGCCAAGCCAATGGTATTAACTTATTGCCAGATTCTCGGTCTCATGCCCCTCGGAACCTCCATGGATTATGAATCCTCGGATTCTCGCTCCAAGGGCTGTTGGGATCCCGCTGCCAACCTCACGGTGTTTTATGAGAAGTGGTCCACTCCCTCGGCTACACCCGACTTTGTTGTGGATGACGTCTGGTGCGGATTGGTGGGGGGAATCGGCTTTGGTTCCGCTGCCACCGAAACCAAATCCGCGTTCTGGACCCAGACCTTGAAGGAGGTGTATAAGGGTGATGAGGGTCGAAAGAAGGTTCGAATGGCGCTCAATTGCCTATTGGAGAGGGATGGACTTCTGCTTCGGATCCGAGACATCAAATGTCCTGTTTATTGGCTACAGGTGAGTCCTATGTTCACTGATTGTAGATGATTTGCACATTAACGCCTCCATAAGGGAACTGAGGACACTCCCTTTGGGACGACCGTTCCTGCAGAACACATTAAACGGTTCACCTCGTCCGTGGAGGCTAAACTTGTGTTGATTGAAGGGGGTGCGCATTACTTGAATGCCACCAACCCAAAGGAGGTGGATGAGGCTCTTCTAGAGATGGTAACAAAGTACAACCACTAGTACATATACTGCCATTGTACGGAGTACTTTGTATAGAATCGAGGATATGGAAAGCTAACAAACGCCACTGAAGGACCCGGTTAATAGTCCTAAAAATCAATATTTTAAGACTAGCATTCACCATTTTGGGAGCTTTCTTTTTTTGGGGTTTTTCTCGTCCTGTCACTGTCTCCTCCGTAACTTTCCTTGTTTAATAGAGTGGGCCTTGTTCATATTGCCAAAACCTTCGTAAAATGAATTCAAACCCCCTGCATCCACGTGGATCTTTTTACTTTGGATCTGCAAGCCGTTATTTACTTAATTCCTACAGTCTATTTTACATGTTATGATACATATTAATGATACATACAACATTATGTATTACAGCATGGTGATATCAGAGGCCTAACCCGCTGTGGGCCAACCACAAAACTAAGTTCAGACTCTAGTTAAACGTTCAAAAGTGGAATTTATGGAATATTACGAGGCGTGTATTCGACACAAATATGGAGCCTTTCCGTGCAGAAACTCAGCCGCGTACTCCGTACTCCATACATAAGGTTCTATTGCCCAACATTCGCTGAATTGTTCGATGTCTACCTCCCTGAACCGGCCGTCATGGAAAGCAACCAGGACAGTCTGCAGCCATGGTCTGTAGCAACTACGGCCTCTGTCACGGTGCTGGCCTTCGTGACGGTTTGTCTTCGACTACTCGCCCGGTATGAGCGGATGCAAAAGCTGTGGTGGGATGACTATATGGTCATATTTTCTATGGTTAGTTCGACTCTCGCACGCTAGTGATTCCCAACCGCATGGTTTCTGATCAAACATAAGCTATGGAACTTCATCGTTGTCGGATTCATCTACGCCATGATCCATAAGGGAATGGGGCTCCATGCGGACACTATTCCAGTGGAAAACGTGATTATGATTGCAAAGTTTCTTGTTGTGGCCGAAGTTCTCTACGTGTACAACCTGGTATGGACCAAATTGAGCATTCTGCTCATGTACTATCGGATCTTCCGCTTCCCTTACTTCAAGACATGGGCATATGTCATTGGGCTTTTTATCATCCTTTGGGTTATCTGTATAACCTTTCTCTTCATCTTTATCTGCGTCCCTGTCCAGAAACTATGGTATCCGCAGCTCCCAGGCCGGTGCATCGACCAAGTTGCTACATGGGTCGCCAACGCCGTCTCAACGATCGCAACTGATGTTGCCATTCTATTCCTTCCAATTCCACAAGTTTGGAAGCTCCAACTTCGACTTTCTGAAAAGGTAGCCGTGCTAGTTGCCTTCAGCTTGGGATTCTTGTAAGCCACTAACACATTTCCAAACTGGAATATCATTTTCTAACCAATCTAACTTCAACAGCGTCGTCTTCGCCTCCGCCTACCGTTTCTCAGTACTCTTTAGCTACAGTTCGGCTGATTCCTCCTACACTCTCGCCCGAACAGTTGGCTGGACCGCGATCGAAATGTCCGCCGGCATCGTCTCGGCCAACCTCCCAACCATTCGCCCTGCTCTCCGTTTCATAGCACGCATGCTGGGTATCAGCGGCACCATGATGGCTATCTTCAGAAGTACAAACAGAACAAATGCCAAAACCACGGATGCTGCCACTCAGCCTTCAGGAACCGCGGAATCCACTTCCACCATCATGCAGCACAACAAGCATCCGAAACGACATTCTTTCTACCACTTACCAGATGATCCTAACTCCCCGGGGGAACAGCCAGGAATGGATACCTCGTTCAGGCCGGACTATGATCAAGGGAAGACGTACACCAATGTGTTGGGTCCGAGCGCTGGTGATCATTCTGATGGGGATGAGATTCCCCTAACAGAGATTAGAGTCGACAAGGAATTTACCCAGCGAGTATCATAAATATATATGACCTTAAAATTTATCTTTACGCAGACTATATGTTGAAGGGAATTACTATTTGTATTATAATTATATTGAGATTTCGGGAATGCCGCGGAGATGTTTAGCTTAATATATACCCATGATTTACATTGTAAGGTAAAGGTATATCGGCAAAAGGTAACTGACTTGTCGATGTAGCGATGCAGCGCTATACAATAAGACGCACGTGATGAGACTCATAATAACCTATGTTGTACTCCGTACTCTGCGGTGACGGCGAATTACCAATTTCGGTTTAGTATACCTCTTTGGGTCTAGCTCCCTCTACGTGACTGACATCGCTGTGTGTCACATTAGATAATATAGTTAATAGTATTAATATATTTAGGACTAGGGTTTAGTAAGAATTCGGCTACTTTTCTAGTTACTTTTATAGTATCTAGTCTTAAGATAGTAGTTATATACTATATAGATCTGACTTTAGCCTAATATCTATAGATCTAGCTTAGTATAGTAACTCTATTATCAATTCCTAAAGGGCAGAATGCCTAACTATCTAGTTATAGGGGTTGGTGCCTGCCGTACCGGGCTGATGGTCAGGTGACCACCATGTCCAATAAAAATCAAGGAGGCTGTTCCGCTTCGACAGGGCTGTGTTAAAGCGCTCAATACAGCTCCTTGTCAAATTGTTTGTCTGTGACTGAGTAACCAAGTCACAGTACTTGAATAATGGCTTGAATCATCTTTCATGACGTCACATTCGTTGAGATATGAATATGACAATTCAGACGACTATTTCCATTTCGCTCCACGGTTAACATAACTCACTAACAGTCATTGTATTCGGTAAGTAAGCCGCCTACCCCAGAACACCTATAGGAAATGCGATATATGGTATATATAGGTAATTAATATATATGTGCGTATGCCAAAATGCTGAGTGTTTTAGGGGAACGGTATAACCGAATGATATTCTGATGTTGTTTAGCTGACGGGGTTCAGGGCGATGGGCAACCTACTGAACACTAGACGGACGTGACATTGTCGACCTTTGGATGCTACCGTTAGGGTGCATAGGTCACCCATTTTGACTGTTGTTGTGGCTGAGTGCAGATGCTAAGGCACCAATTGTCTTATGTAGACCAAGTCCACCCAATGATGTTCTAACACAATCCAGCTGAGATCCGTGCGACGGTTGCGCGATGAGGTGGGGGACGTATATTATGGTAAGTGAATTTCGAGCCCTACATGCAGGTCTGACGTGGCATAAATCCATGAGGCTGAATTCACTCAGCCCGTGACCCGGTGATGGAAGTGAGAATTCTTCAGCGCAGTATTTCGCAACCGCCGGTCGAATGGGACGCTCATTGAATATATCGTATCGCCCTCCTAAAGCAGGACCGAAGAGTCGTCCAGTATTTCCCTTGGTGAGCTGCTATGCCTTTTTCTCCGTTATAAGAATCGTACTTTCAAGAATGACACTAGCCACGAACACGATGGCGACACTAGATGAGGTGGTAGGAAACCTCATACAGCCAATATAATACAGGAGTCGAAAGACACGCTGAATATCCGGATACAAGATAGCTTTACGAATTTAAACAAAGAATCGATTCTATCAGCTAAGCTAAGTGCGATTAAGCGGCGTATTAGTATGCGCAAGAAAACCGATACGCGCAGCAGTAGGCCGCGTCGTTCAGCCCAGAAAGAGTGGTGATTATCGGTTATTTGACCTGGATCTAAAACCCTCCTACAGCTACTTTTTTAATCCCCTGTAGGCCTCATGTCTAAAAGAATGGCAAATCCAATGTTGATATAGCGAGATAGAAATATCAGTCCTCCACGCCTGCAGCGAGATATCCTTTGGGACTGGCCAGGAAAGTTCTCTACATTTGAGATCAAATCAAATCAAAAGACGAAAGTCACAGGCGCTGGAACGCCTACCTTTTCGTAGTCAAGAGTTACGCTCTGTGCGAGTTCGTTACAGGCATTGACCCACTCGACAGCTCCACTTAGCCCCAGATCGTAACATGCAGCGCCAAAAGAGGACTTTAAATTTGTATAACGAGGAGAAGCACGAGAGACAATGTACCACTTGCGGTACGGAACCACCAATTGAATGTGGCGGTTGGAGGCGAATACTGTGTGTCTATTGGTCGGACAGCCAGTTAACGGTTTAGAATCGCGAATCTGTAAGAACTCGGACGGCGATGATAACGGTGGCCACAACTCCGATGCCTCTGTTGTTGGCGAGAGCAATGGCGTTACCATCATTAATGCAATTATCAAGAACCAGGATGACTGCTTGGCCGTTAACTCTGGTACTGTAAGTACCGACCAGAACATATTAACGCGTTCCATTGATACTGATGTTATAGAGCAAGTAGGTTAGCAGAGAGTGAAGCAAGTGTAGACAAGAAAAGGCCGTTAGACAGGAACCAGTCCCATCAGTGCGATTTGGGAGCGGCAAATGCTACGGAGCCAATCGACATCGAGGGGGAGAATATCTGCGCCCGTCATGGCTGGAACGAGGAACTTCCCAAAAAGCTCGCTTCGTGTAACGCGTACTTGCTGCTGAGCGGCCGCTTGCCCTTGGGGAGTGGGGAAGACGGTTTCGTCTTGCGCGAGGTAAGGTATGCCTTGCGAGTTGAGTCGGTATACCTCGAGGAAGCCTGAAACGTTGACGCCTTGTTGAGTGAACTTGATGATGATAACGGCTCGAATATCGCCATTTCCTCCAACAAGCAGCTTGTTCATATCATCAAGGAGATCAGGATACCCCTCAGACCAGCCAACTTCCACGACAAGCGTAGGCAAATTAAGTCCTACTATACGGAAGGCGGCGTCAGGTTGCTTTCTCCAGCCTCGATATACGCCGTATTTGAAGTCAATGCCTACTTAAAATTAGCTCGGTTAACGTGAGATCCATCATAGTAACTTACTCGCATCAGACATAGTATACAGAATGTCCTCTTCTTGAGGAATCGTAAGCCCCGCACGAGTCCACCGCACCATTGCCCGTGATAACCATCCGCTTGCTACATCGTGACCATTGGTAGGCATGATGGAAACACGTAGTAGACCTGTGATAGGATCGTAGGTCTTCCTATTTGCCGGCAGGTCTTCGTCAGCCTCCCATAGGAAGTCCTCCCACCCGAGAGGAACGTCGGTCACGGTTAATAGCTGATAGTGCTTAGCCTCGCAGATAATGCCCTTGACAGACTCGGCAAAACTCGCGTGCTCCGTAAAGTTCTTTGCGGAGATCGTGAGTATTTCACACGCGTCTGACGGGGGATCTTGAGGAGAAGCCATGGTGAAGATGAGAATAGAATTAAGGAGGAGTAGTAGGAAGAGTGAAGGAAGCAAAGACGCTGAAAGTGCGAGTTTAATATTCTCGGAAAGCGCTGACTAAATAACGCAACCCGGACCATGAAACGGAGATCCTAGCCCTCTGGCAGACTTTTTAAGCCCGTTTGTACACCAACTGCCATACCCGTTGCACATGCTGTTATCAGGTAGGCTACCCGGCCGTGCGGAGGAACCTTGGTAGATAATAGACGATCTTGCCAGAGTGATAATTCGGCGGTTAGAGGGCGAGCGCCAATTATACACAAGGTCGTAGTTGTCTCACATGGCTTTCCAGGTACATCCCAACGTCCTTACTGGTCGCACGGATCTCTAAGGATAAGGTGTCTTTGAATTGATCAATAATTTCTGATATGAATCGCGATGTCGCAAAGATATTTACATTATATTGTATCTGAAGGTTAAAAAGCTCTAATATAAAATGCTGCCGGTCTAATGCCTGGCATTCGTTAAGTATATTAATAATAATAAAGAGTTTTAAAAATATCGCTACTACGATTAGGAGGACTTTGGAAATTTCTTCAGCTAATAGTTGTATTCTAGCTTTATAGTACTTATAGAGCTCTTTAACACTATTTAGGAGAGGCTAATACTACCTAGCTAGCTGTTTTAGTAAGCCTACTAGTAAATCCTTAGTCTTTTAATTATCCTACTACTTAAAGTCGCAGTATATATAAGCGATACTAATTATTAGGTCTATCTAAAACTTCTAGTTAAGATAGTGAAATGCTCGATATCTTGGCATTTGCACGTAACTAGAACTGGAAGCGTCATAAAGTTATTGGTTCCTTCTATTCTTGGCCTGTAACTGATTATTACATGCTAATGCTGCCATACAGCTTGCTTTTATATCTGAGATCTTAAGCTCGAGCCGCTCCGAATTAGAAGAAAGATGGAAGTAACATCATGAACGGATGGGGCTCTCTACTCCGTCCTACGCCCTTTCGTTATACCATATCTCCTTGATAAGATGTAGTGCTCCAAAAATTGAGGGGAGCAGCAATGCTATCAACGAACTAAGTATCACGGTATAAACGACCCTAACAGCTTGTATGTAGAGTGAACTCTGAATACAGCGCGCCTTGGTTAGGGATAACGACATTCCACGCTCAAGAAATGATAACAACTATACATCTTCCGGAGAATTTGACAGACTCCACATGCCCTCAAAGTAACCACAGATAGATCTTCATTACATTCCAGAATATCCCTCGTCTCCGCATGAAAACCGGTATCTTTCCCTCAATTTCACGAGGCGCCATATAATAGACAAGCCTCCGGAACCGTTCAAAACGGGAACTTTATCTAAACATTCTAAAAGAGCTCGTTAAAGGATGCCGAGGCAAATATCTTGATAATATTAACAAAAAGATTACTATCTTTGAGCACCGCGACGGGGACTAGAAGAAGACCAGGTTAAGACCGATTCGACCGCTCTCTACAGTTATTATAGATAATCAAGTATAGGGTTAAAGATATTTAGGGATGATATCTGAACGAGGACTTAGACTGCCTTTATATCTTTTATCCATAATGTACGCGCCGAGGGCGTTGATGTATGATGAATACTTACTCCTGTAAGGGCGCTAAACCTAGCTTGGCTAGTGTTATATTCAATGCTCTAACGCGAGCGCTGGGTGAAATGACCACGATTTCCCCTCGAAAGACCACGTACAATGGCGATAGTGTTGCCGTGTTCCAAGAGCCAAGCGCAAACGTGGTCTTTTCGCCGTCACCCCGACTTACTCCGTAGCTTTGACATAGAAACCACAGGTGACCCCGCAGAGCCCTAATCAGCCCCGCGATAATTATCGCCCGAATTTTTTCTCTACTACACTCTTCTTCAATCCACCCTTGGCCAGCCCACGACCCTCACGATGTCCAAACAACTATCCGGCATCCTCGGCACAACCTTAACCCTCATCAGCCAATTCCAAACAGCCCTTACCACGCTCCCAACAGCCGCAACTGAAGCCGCAAAAGATGCCGAAGCCCTGCCCCTACTAGCGGCCTCCTCGAGCGCGCTCAAAGCACACGTCACAAAACTCTCCCTGCTGGCTATTACCTCGCCCTTCACGCATTCCGCTGTCAGCACCGTGCTCCGAGAGCTCAATGAATCCGTGCTGCCGTCGCTCGTGACCGCATCCCTTCTCGTCACACCGGCGCAATACACCAAGGCGTTTCACTCCGAGGTCCTGGTACTTGTCAAGACGACTCTGACGGAATTTTCGGCGCTGGTTCGGGAGATCAAGCTCGTTGGAGAGAAGAAAGACCAGGAGAAGAAGGATACAGGGAAGGAGAGCGGCGTGACGAAATCCGAGAAGGATGCTGTGATGCTCGCTACGGGCCGTGTCTGGGATGCGTGTGATTCCACGACCGATGTTGCGAATAAAGGGGTTGTTGGGTTTGTTATGCGCCGCGTTGAGCAGTGGAGGGACCTGGTTCGCGACGCGGTAGAGGAAATCGAGGACTGGGATCCGGAAGAAGAGGACGATGGTTTCTTGGATGATATTCTCAGCGATGAGGAGAAGGCCGGAGATGATAAGGACGAGGATGATGATGAGGATGACGAAGAAGAGACCGCTGCCCTCCAGGAACACAAGAAATCTACCCTCCGTTTCCTCAAGCCTATTGCCCAGGTTTACCCAGCTATCATCAACAACCGGCTGAAGAACGCCGGAAATGCACCGTTGGCTTCTTCGTCGGGTGTCAAGAAGCTGGATTCCTTGATGCTGAATCTGCAAGCTATCCCGGACGATGTCGACGAGGCAGCTGGCGCGTTGTACGAGGCCAATTTTGAAACCTCTGCCCAGTATCTACAGAAGACGAGAAAGTGTGCCACACAAGCGGTGGAGCTGGTCGCATCACCCTGGGGCGCTGCAGATGCTAAGGATGATGCACCTGCCGACAAGTTCACTACATGGTCGAACACGTGGCTCAAGGTTATTGACGAGGTCAGCAAGTCAATTGTAAAAAGCTGAATGTGAATATCCATCACAAAGCCTCAAGGAAGCTGATGATGGGATGATAAAAGCCCGAGAAAAGCATGGACAGCGATATTATGTATATGTACATAGAAACAAACATGGTAATATTATACAAGCCTTTCTAAATCATGATCTCCAACTAGATCCCATGTCTTAGAACTCTTCGGGAGCTTCGTGTTCCTGCTCCCATTCCGGCAGGTCACCAATGGGAATCCGCTCTCTCAAGAATTGCAAAACCGCATCGGTTCCTTTGGCAACTACTTGCCAGCGAGGTACTCGGAATCGATTACCAGCCACCTCAAAACGTCTCAGTGCCGATCCATTGCCCCAATTCTGAGGAGAGCGTCCAGCAGCAAGCAGGCCAATCTTCGGAGGAAGCGAATCAAGGTCATTGTTACTTAGCTCCAAGACCTGCAACCCTTTTACGGCTTCAAATTCTAGGCTAGTGATTTGGTTGTCAGAGGCCACAAGGGTCTTGAGCTCTGGGTAAGTCTGTCTCAGACGGGGGAGTGGTCCCCTCAAACGATTGTGAGATACATCCAAGAATGTCAAAGATGGGGCTATTAATTTGGACAAGAGAGGCTCCCATGACGTCAAGCTAGCCGCATTCAAAGTCAGCGACTGAAGCTTTGGCAACTCAAGCGGAGAAGACAAGAAGTTAGCACCACTCAGGGGGTTATGTGAGAGGTCAAGCTCGACCAGGCACTGTGCGAGCATTTCAATTGCGGGGGCTGGGAAACAGCTCAGCTCATTGTGCTGTAGATAGAGGCATCGAATGTCTAGCGACGGAAGCATCTCCAGTTGTTCCACCGTAAGGTCGGTTATTTCAGCATAAGACTTGTCAAGAGTTCCACCAGATTTAATCTGCCAGCTGCCATCGAGCACGGGATTCTCGGGCGCTAGAGTGAATTGCGTGGCCACTGAGCCCTCATCATCTGTGTCCTGAGGATCAGGCTCACAGCGGCTCCGCAAGTCTCGTTTGATATCGTCGGTGTCCATTCTCAGCAGCCTGCGCTCACGAAGTGGGTTATTGGAAACCCGCAAAGAGGAAAGGTTTTGCATCAATCCAATTTTCTCATCCAAGCGCGTGAGGGCATTTCCTGTGAAATCGGCCTTCTTGAGGCTCTTGAGCTCCTCAAACCCTTGCGGAAGCTCTGTAATTTTGTTTTCTTCGGCTGACAGCGTTAATAGTGACTGCCAGGAAGTCATACATGGAAGACGCGTGATGCGATTGACACCGACCAGGAGAGTATGTAAATTAGGAAGTTCAAGTGTGTCGTTGGCTGAGAAGACCACCACAGCATTATTGGCGATGTTTAGGGACTGCAATTTCTCTAACTTGTTCACTGATGCCGGTATCAAAGTGCCTTCCAGCCTGTTCTTCTGCGCATTGATCGTTCTCAGGGGAAGTTTGCTGAGGACCTCGAACGGCAAGGAAGTGAATTTGTTCTCGCTGACGTCCAATGTTCTCAGAGAACTCAACCCAACAAGCTCTTTTGGGAGCTTAGTGAGAGTATTGCCACGCAGATCCAAAAACTCCAAGTTAGGAAGACGACCAATGACCGCACTTAGTTCCCCTTGCAATTCATTGTTCGCAAGTTTTAAATCTGTCAGAGACTTTATCTCTGCGATTGTCTCGATATTGGCCATGGTCAAAGAATTATTTGACAGGTTGAGAGTGCGTAAGTTTTGCAGACGTCGGAGACCAATCGGGAGTGATTTGAGTATATTGCCATGGAGGTCCAATGCTTCGAGGCCCCCAAATTGAAGTCCTCGATCATCGCTATCGGGATCAAACTCCTCGGGGTTGATATCAGGGAAGGTGGCATCTGAGATCTGTTCCAGCTCATTGTCTGCGGCATTAAATTTGACAAGATCAACATTTTCGAACCAGTTCGCAGAGTTATCTGGGTCGTAGTCGTACATCGTCAGCACTTCATTTGGAATCTCTTTTAAACA